GGGAGGCAGCGTTTTGTTCTGGAAAGAGCTCACATCCTATTTGGACAAGCGAACACTCACTGTAGATGTTTTAATTCCTAATGTAAAAACTACCCCCGGGGAGTTTGCATGTAATTATGAATTATCACAGTACAGCAGACAGCCCCCTTATTCAGAGCAGCCGTCACTTTTCACTGAGCGACACTCAAAGAGCAGCTCCCTGTGCTGCTGCATGCTCTAAACCTACAATTTGAGATGGTGCTGCCGACATCAAAACAACACCACCAACAGGCAATTCGTCCTGGCATGGAGAGAACATCATAGCAGGACTGAAATGCGGAAAATTTAAGTCATTGTGCAACACATTTCTAAATCGGGGGTTAAGAGCAGAGGAACTTTTCAACCCGTATTGTATTTATTTAGTCAAAACTGCATCTATGAATAAAATAAACAATTTTTGCAAATAGCAAATCAACATTATCGGATCGTTTCAGATTTGCTGATTTGTTATATGAATTGTTGCAAAACAGAACTTAAAAATTAAGCCTTTTTAAAAAAAAAAGCAGTTCCTTGTATGTCCACTAGAGGCTGGCTACAAACGTGAGTCAATCTCCATTGAGCTCCATGTTAAAATATCTAACTTTACAGCAGAAATTAACATGTTTAAAGCATGAAACAAAAACAGTATTAGCATCTAAAGCTTATTTCTCTCAGGGTTAAAGTTGTGTGGCATGCCTTTCTAAGTGTCTGATTGAAGCTGCTTGTTTTCTGTAAGCAAAAACCTCTGTTGTAGAAATATAAGCTAATGCAAAAAAAAAGCAGCTCCTCGGATGTCGACTGGAAGCTGTTTGTGACTTCCATAAACTAGTGAAAGCTGGAATGAAAGTTCAATGAGCACGCATGTAAGCATGGCTCATTTCATGCAGCTGGAAGAAAAGTGACAGAGATACATACATTTACATACGTAGCATGAAAATGCTAACTTGACTGGGAGGACTCTTGATGAGATTAAGCAATGGTAGGATCAACAAGATCAACAAAGATAGGCTGTTGATCTCTCTTTGCTGCTTGATCACATGGCTGTATTTTATACTGCGTGCACAATGGATGCTGCTTAGTCTCGTTGTGCACTTTGGTCATTGCAGTCAAAGTTAGCAGTTATTTGGATTGTAAAGAAAACATCCTTTAGTTGTGTGTGAGTGTGTCTGTGTGTTTTCACATAAAATTTAGAGTGCATGATGAAGAGCTTAGTGATGGTCTCAGTCTGGAGTGTTTGGCCACTGCAGTGTTGAGATAAAGCTGGAGTGTGAGGAGTTAGCTGCGTCTTCACTTGACAAATGTACTGCTGTCTGTTGTAAATCTATTAATGTGTAAAAAGTTAAGGAGTGGGCATTGTCAACTTACTATCTCACTTATGTGCCCACTAAACTCAGGAAAGCCCTGGCATAAACACTTCCTGCATCCTCAAGATAATAAAGTACCATCTTAACATCAGATCACAGCTCTTTTTAGGACCAATACACCCACACGCATTAATGCAGGTGCAATATAAACTGCTATTTACGCAAAGTGAGTGCTAGAAGTAAGACCACTGAGTGTGTCGAGGGAACTATAACAATAACACCTAAGTGCTTTGCTCTGGGAGTACGCAAGGGCCCAAAGAGATGATTTAAACAACACCATGTTTCTATCAGGCATGGTTTTAACACAGAGTGATCACTGTCATGCAGAATTGTTTGTATCTTGACGGACAGGTCAGATGCAAAGTGAGGAAAATATAAAGATATGGAAATATGAGTCAACTCGAGCTTTTCATTGATATGAAATTTGTTTTTTTTTAGGGAACTGTGCCGATTTCTTTGGTTGATATGATGCAGCAATAGGTCTGTTTTGTGGATCAAAATCAACACAATCATAATCATTTTGATTAGAGCAGAGGAAAAAGTGAATTTGATGTAAAGACGCTGCTCTCTGTCAGCCTCTGTAAACACATTTAAAAAAAAAAACAGACAGATGAGCTTTTTGCTTAATCCAAACTCTACTTTTTATGTGCAAAGTCAGCTTACTTTTAAGAGTCCAGATGACAGGTACAGATTTCACTTCTGCCTGTGTGCACCGCAGATTCAAATTAATATGCATTACTCATGATTTAAAAGTCAAATGTGACAGAGGAATATCTGAGGGCTCCTGATTTAAGAAGCTAAATGCCAAAAAAAAGAAGTACAGCGCTGAAGGAATCTAGGGGAATTTTTGGGGGGTCCACAGACGCATTTGACAATCCAGCAGCTAATCCCCCGAGATTAGAGAAGGTATTCATATTCATCCACGCAGAAACCTTCAGGACATCTGAGGGTTTTAATTCTGGAGGTGTTGGAGCTCCATAGCGGGGCTGGGGGCCTCGTGGAGGCAGGAGCGGCCCCGTGTCTAAAGAGGCTGTGAGACGAGACTCCGAGTCTTTGTCTCAGAGCGCTTCACTCGCTGTCAACGTCTCCCTCATGCTCCCAATGCACTAAATGCATGAGGAGAATTTAATTACAGAGTATAGACTGAGCACACACATGCACAGACACACACAAACACACACAGATGCATTGACACAGTGTGAGCAGTGGCATTCCTGCACTCAGTGACCTCTCCTCCAGGCTTTTCAAGAAAGGCGGCTGACTGAAGTTGGGTGGCAGAGGAAGAAGGGGGAGTTGTGGGGGATGAAGGGAAAGGAGGTGGAGGAGGGTTCGGGTTGACGGAGTCCACAGAGGGATGGCCTTCCCGCCCGGCGCTAACACGGTGGACAAACGCTGTGTTCTTAAGTCAGGAAGTGTCATTAGGGTTAATAAAAGCAGCATGTGAAATGTCTGCTGGTCCTCATGTCACAGAGAGAGGAATCTCCTCACATAGCAAGGAAGGCTGCTGCATGTGTGTGTGTGTGTGTGTGTGTGTGTGTGTGTGTGTGCGCGCAAGCATTGAAATCCTCATTGTCATTGTGCAACATGTGAGGAATGCTTTGTTTGGTTCAAAGGTGTCACAAGAAAATGCGTCCCGTCATTCATGCATTACTGCGGTTACAGGCAGCACTCAAGTCGTGCTCACAGACGCACTATTATTCACTTATTTCAGTTTAAAATGACAGCTGTGGTGACATATTACGACTCTTTATTCACTGCTGAACATCAGATTGAATCATTTTATCAGGACTCATCAGCAGAGATAGTTATTCTGCTGAACACACACGCAGTAATGTATTGAACTCTTTGAGAAGGTGAAGATTTTTGGTGGTTTCAAAACAAATACCTCTGTTTCATCATATTTCTTTGCATTTTTGTGTGATGTTTCTGTGTTTTATGAAGTTTTCCTCATGACATGTTCATGCAGTTGACCTTCAAGAGGTGAGAAGTGTTGCATTTTGCCGAGATTTTGTTCTTTTTAGAAAAGTAAAGCCACACTTTGGACCGTCGACACACACTATCCATGCTTGACTGACTCTAACAATTTCGGTGGACGCTTCTTTGTTGGTGTTCACCGGCTTCTACTTTCGGTCGGCGGCCTGAGTGTCGAAACAAGGACTTGAAATTTAAACTTTTGAACGATTCCAGGAGAATCGGAAAGCTAGTCCCGGTTCGATGCCCAATACTCGATACCCAACCCTAGTGAGAGAAGACAGCAGAAAATCTCCCGGAGCATATACAACGGACAAGCAGGCAATAGTACTTACTCAAGAGCAAACATCTGTCCGTCCCCATGAGATTTACTGTTCATCCAACAGTGAAAACTTTATATCAGGGGTGTGTGAACTACCAACTCTTGAAAAGTTCCTAAAAATTTCAAGAAAATTTGCATGTGCATGAGAGGCTGTAAAGGTTGTTTTTTTTAAATATTTTTTTTTACAAATTGTGATGGGAATCAAGACAAATCAATCAATCGATCAATCTTTAATAATATAGCACTTTTCATACACAACATGTAGCACAAAGTGCTTCACACAGAAAAAGGAATAAAAGAAACAAAGAATACCCAAATCTACCCCAACCCAAGATTAAAAGAATATCTAAATCTACCCCAGCCCAACCCCTCATTCCCACCCCACGATCTAATTGCAACAGAAACAGTATTTAAATGCATAAACTTAAAAAGGGCTTGATTAAGTGGAAACAGGAATGTGGAATGTGCGCACTGAGGAAACGTCATTTTAAAAATCAAGATAAGGAAACACTGGAGGTTTATGTTAAAATCTAAAAACAAAGAATGAAATTTAAGAATTGAAAAATAAAATGAAATAAAAACAACAGTAAAAGATACTAAAATAAGAGCACCAGAATAGCTCAATAAAAGACGATCCTGTGACTAAAACGAGAATAGATAAATGCAAAAACACTTAAACAAGGTTAATGATATAAAATTTGGTTAAAAGCAAGACTAAAAAGGTATGTTCTCAGTTTACTAAATGACGATTAATTTAGTAAACAAATTAATTTCAAAACACAAATACAACCACACAGACTAAAATTAGACTGTTATACAAGAGAAAAAAGCAAACGTGTCTTTGAATTGTACTTTTTCATACAGATTAGCATCTTATTTAGGCTAAAATGTCATTCTTATTAGGGTAAAATTAGGAAAGTCAGATAAATAGACTCATGCTGCTGTTAAATGAGAATAAGGTGGAAAACTAGATCAACAGAACCAGTCTTTTCTTATTCATCTGTATAAAAAACACACATGACCTGCAGTTGTGTCTGCACAGAGGAACTTTTATTATTTAAGACCCCAAAAAGCTGTTTTCAGCTAAAAGAAGTATTTCTCTTTAATCAATAATTTAGGGATTTTATGAGGCTCAGTTCACGGTTTGTATCCAGACCTCTTCGGTAAAACTGCACCGTGAGCAAACAGGCACATGTATAATCCTGCATCTGCTCACAGCAGTGACTCATAGGAAAAGTGTTCAAAGCAAATCCAAAGGCATGAAAAAAAGCAACACTCAGAGCGAGAGATACTTGGGTCAAAGAGTCATCACTTCGAGAGTGAAGATGACTCATTTCCAAATGATTCATCGGGGTTTGCGGTCACCCAAACAGGACCGCCAGCCAACAAGAGCTTCCACGAATTTGCTGGCTAAGGAGAGCAGCAAGTCCAGGCAGAGGCACAAAGACGTAAAAGCAGCGCTGTTTTCAGTCAGTGAGCCGGCATGTGACCCAGAGCCAAATGCCTTTGATTACATCAATTACAGCCAGTCTGACAGGGCCTCGGGGAGCGATGCAACCGCCATTCATAACAACGACTGCTTCAGAGAGAGCAACCCTGCTAAAGTTACCTGCAGGGTTACCTTCAAGTTCTTCTGACGAAAAAAAAAATCACATGAAGAAACACAAATAAAAGGAAACACATGTTATAACTCTGTCAACAGATACACACATACATGCACACACAACACAGATTCTGGCACAGATTTGTCTTATTTAACCTTGAGTAAACTCTCCAGTGTCTCCAAGGCAACCTAAAAGCAAGACAAACACATTTTTTGCTTTCACAAAAGTAAACCCTTGTTTTTGATTTGGAACCAGCAGAACCTTGAAAAACAAAAGTTTAAATGAGGACATGTTTGCCATCTTGTTTCATCAGCTTTTCTTATAACACTGTAACCCTCTGGGAACCAGCAGACACATTCTGGTGTCTGGAAAGTGAAATGTTTTTGCATGATATGGGATTGCAGCTGCTCCTTTGTTGTGTTTTTGTTTCATGATGCTTCAAATGTTTTCAATGGGTGACAAGTCGAGACTACAGACAGGCCAGTTTCGCAGCAGGACTCTTCTACTACAGAGCCATGCTGTTGTATCACCTGCAGAATGTAGTTTGGTATTGTCTTGCAGAAACATGGAGGTCTTTCCTGAAAAAAATTATTGTCTGGATGGCAAACCTGAGTATATTGTTCAGCATTAATGGTGCCTTCACAGACAAGGGATTTTGGAGGTGATTTTTAGCCCATGCAGTGATTTCCCATTAGAGTCTTGGTGAACCTCATCCCATGTTCTCCTTTGAAAGACTCAGCCTCTCTGGATATCCTTTTTTTTACCCATTCATGTTACTAACCTGTCAACATTTCACCTCATAAATTGGAAAATATGACCCAACTTTTCACAGTTCTCCAGTTCTTGACATAACTTTTTAAATCATGTTACTGAAATCACATTTTACATAAGCAGAAACTTTTCATAAATCAGTTAAAGGGATATTCCAGTGAAAAATTCAGTTAGGGTCAAACACACAGTAACACCGAGTTAGACACCCCGTCAAGAGATGAATGTTGCTGACCGCTTGCTTCTCTAGTTATACCAACTTTAGTAATGATTGCACAATAGCAATACACAGCAGTCTGGGGAGCATAAACAAACCTAAACCAAAAAGCCACTCTATAGCCACAAATAATGTTCAGAACAGCACCTAACGTCATCGACAGTACATACAGGGTCCCAACCAGAGTACTAGCCACCAAACATCTTTTAAGCTTTGCCTGATTTCTTGTTTCACACAACTCACCCCCTCTCTTCCAGCAGCCGCTTGTTTGGACGGAGACCTCCGGGCGAGTCCATCGACTGCAGCGGGGAGACGCAGCTCAAGGAATAACATTTATGATCATTACTTTATTATTTCTTTGAAGTAATAATCACCATATTAATCATTTTGCACTGCGTCTTAGCGTCTCAGTCTGATTACATTTCCATGAGGAAATGACTTAACTTAATGACGTAACTTAATTTATCCCTTTAAAATGTCTCTATTTTGATATTTTATCTTGCGTGAGCTTAAAAAGTTCCAAAATCATCTCATTTTTGGCATCAAAATGTTTTTGTAAAGCTATGTTATTGTGTTAAGGTCACATCATACCATAAAAATTGGAATTTCCCCACAATGTAGTACACATATTTGGTGACTTTGTAGAGTTTTGGTGTTAAAAAATAATCTTTCCTATATTTAAGCAGCCTTACCTTTCTTTCACTATCAGACATCAACCCAGTTTAGTCTTTTCTCCCTCTGTGAGCCAATCAGAGGACAGTGAGTGCAGCCTGTCGTCCTAAAGCATTGAACCTTGGATGTTTTATGACTGGTAACTTTGCAAAAGGAGGTTTTAAACTGCACAATATACAGAGAATTTTTCCTCCGGAGCCCTTGAGAGAGTTTTACAGGTTCACTGAGGTTAACAGACAGAAAGTGTCTGAACTCAGGTGTATGAACTCATCTCATATTGTCTGTTCTCTGAGGAACTTGTGTTTGTCTATCTGGGGTCAATCCCTGCCTCCAGCTTACCCAGCATGCTTCTGACACACTTAGCTCATTTTCAGCTCTCTCCATACCTCAGAGATTAAAAGGTAAAAGCCTCCAACTCCATAGATGACAGATGTCATTGTAGGCTTGTCAGGTATGTGTGTGTTTGTGTGTGTGTGTGTGTAGTATGAGTGCTTGTGGGTGGAGAGCTGAGAGTTCAGATGGAAAGACAGACAGTTTGTTGGCACATAAACAGAAACATTGCAGTTTTCTCGAAGCAAACAGAGCGTACAAACCAGAAAAACAACTGTCCACAGAGGAGCTTTGTTGACACTCTGCCCCTCTGCAGGTTTGTAAAGCACTCTGTAAATCCAAGATAATCCAAACAAACAGATACATAATCTCAGGTTAGAGATTATGTCATGATATTGGTGTTTCACGTTTCTTTAACAGATGCAAATCTGATGTTTTTGTTTATAGCTACTCTCTGTTTTCTCACCTCGCCTGTTGAACCCGGCTTCTTCGTATCCTGTGATTACCACAATGTTAAGTTTTGTGTCATCACTTCAGCTTTTCAAAACACGCTGAGAATCTCCGTCTTGTACATAGATATTTCACTGCTTCATTTGCTGTTGTTGGTGTGATAAACAGTTTATGTGAGTTCCCTGTGGATTATGAGAGATTATTGAGATTTAATGTTTAAAATAATTCACTTCACTCTACATTAAGGAAAACCCTCTGCACTGTAAACAGGATGCTCATAGAAAAAACAAAACATAAGCCAGTGACCTCTATTTTGTTGTTGTGGTATTGAAACAGGAGCCAATGATGTATAATTATTATTCACATTGTAGCATAATTTGAAATGTCGGTATTATGACTACTTTGTGTGCTTATTGTGGCCAATGTGTCATAATATTTATAATATTGTGGCCTGTGTATCCATAAATGTGTCCTATTATGGCCCATATATTGTCATATATCATAGCCTGTAACACATATTGTTTGTGATCCATGTAAGCTGTTATATTATTCCATTACCTTTGTATAATTAAAGGAATAGTATTGTGAACTGGGTTATGGGGCATATGTTAGCCTATGTGTCCTGTTACATACCCTATTGAAAACCATGCACTGTGTCAGTATTGCATCTTGGCCGGTATATCATGATATGTATCATAGAAAGGGCAAATGTATTATGTATGTATCACACCTTGGCCCATCAATATTCATAGGTATTATTCTAACGCTCATGTATCATGACAAATATTAAACTGTGGATCCTGTATCATGATGTTTATTATATGTTTTATATCATGGCCCAAGTATACCAATATCTATATCTTTCCTAGTGCATCAATATTAAAAGGTTTCAATTACAGTCAGTATATCATGATACATATCATATCAGGGTTTAAGTAGCTTGTTATGTGTCATATTACGGCTCATGTATCATGATATGGTTAAAATTTAGACCCTGTTAGAACGATAGGTGTTTTAGCAAAACCTAAGCATCCTAAATTTAATGTTTTACAGTCATGTCACAGCTAATATATCATGATATGTTTCTTTATACATTGTATTGTAGCCCATGTATTTATCATAGAAGATGTATCATGGTATTTAATGCATCATGGCCCATGTACTGTTTACGTATCCTATCATAGACCATGTATTATGATATGTATTTTATTGTGGCCCATCTATCATATGTTTTGTATTACAGCAAATGTATCATGATATGTTTCTCTATAGTCATTGTCTTGTAGCCCATGTATTTATCATACTGGATGTATCATGGTATTTAATGCATCATGGTCCATATACTGTTTATGTATCCCATCATAGACCATGTATTATAATAAGTATCATATTTTGGCCCATCTATCATGATATGTTTCATATTACAGCAAATGTATCATGACTTATTTATCATGATATAGAATGCTTTTTCCCCCATGTTTCATATACATTACATCATAGATGGGGCCCATGTATTGTGATTTGTATTAGTGTGGCCTCTGTATTATGGTACCATTTGTATAATAAGATCACTACTCATGCCGCGCCCTGATAATGAAGGAGCAGAATGTGAACTTGAATTTATCAGATGAGATTAAATAAACCTAAAAATAGATGCATATCAAATTTTGAACTCTATCCTGACTGATAGATTGGTTGATATATCCCTTAACTTGGTAGATCTAGAACTAGAACTATCTAGATTTAGTAGCTGCTAAAATTCACGCTGATCTCATTGAAATAATCTAAAGCCGATATAAGCGACAGTCTAATGTGTAGCAGTCTCCTCCTCCCAGCCGCTGAGTGTAGTGGGTATATTTAGCCCTGTGCTCTCCCTCTCAGTCCATTACAGAGGCTCACCGTCTGCAGACTCTCAGGCTGTTTACATGAAGTGGACCTGGATCTCACTAAGCCGCTTGTGCTGGAGTCTAAACAGGTGAAATCCTTTAAGATGGCCCATCATTGGATGACAGTTCCCTGTCTGTCACCTCCATGGCTCAGGCTGTAGCCCAGTCGAGTAAACAAACAGAAGTGAATGGGTGTATGACTCATCAGTTTGTGTGTGCGTGTGTGTGAAAGAGAGAGAGTGTGTGTGTGTGTGTGTGTGTGTTTATGCCCCAGTCTGCTGAACATCCGCTCCCCTGAAGCTCCTCAGCACCGCGGGCAGACTCCAGCTATTACCTCCTCGCCCACACGCTGTCAGTCACACGGGCTGTAATAACAGGCTGTCACACTGTCCCACTGCACACTCACTGCCAGCACCCTGCGCGCACACACTTACACACAAACACACACATACACACAGAAAGGGAGAAGGAAACATGCGATGTCTCCTGTGCGAACCTTGAATCTGACCACAGAGGCTGAGTTTAGGTTTTAATATCATTTATGAGACTTAAATTACAGTTATTTTACTCTCAAATCCAACAGGTTTAATTTTTAATGCTTGCAAGAAAATTAAAAACAATCATAATTCATCCTCGGTGTTTTAAAACCATCATGCAACATTCTGTACAGTAAGCTGCATGTCGAAAATCCTACTTTATGCACGTACAATTTAAGAGGATGGCTTATAATTGCGAGCGTACTTCATACACAACAGTCTGGAGTACCTACTCAGGAGCTGAGTCATGCATTTCAACAGATGAGGTCAAAAGAAATGAGATTTTTTAGCCATAAAGCACAACTGGCATTGGATTAGTATCACCAAGGCGCCAATGGCGTTGGCGCCCCATGTAAAGAGGCTATAGTTCTCATAGCAACATCTCTCCACACCTCTCATCTTTTATCTTAACCGTCCAGAGTCAGCAGGTTCAAGCATTTGCGTTTACAAAGTTCAAGTTATTATCAGCTTACGCTCTTGTTTTGTGAGAGCTTTGTGCATTTAACACCTCCAGACCTGCAAACCTCAAAAGTCTGAGCAGCTGGTAAATAAAACCCCGCTGACATTTAACTGTGTGTTTTTGCTTTTCTTTGACCGTTGCTCGTGGAAAAGTGTGCGGGTTGCTGCAGGTTTTGTGTTTACACGGCAGGAAAGTTGCTTGTTGTTGGTTTGAACTCCAGCTTTCCTCCCACAGTCTGTCTCATCTGCTGATGCTGGTGTAAAGAGCTTAAAGCCTGCACTAATGTCATTAGTAAAGGCTGCGGCGTGAGTGTGGAAGTTATGTCATAGCGTCTACACATCCTCACAGGCTTTTACATCTTAAATTCAAACATCTTTAAAGTGAATTTTTGCCCATATTCTCATTATATGTGAAACTCTTGCTGCCTCACAGAGAAGAAATAGACTAGATAAAGTTTTTTTCATTTTGCTGCTCTCATTACTTCCCACACTCTCTTTCCTGAAGCTAAGGGATTCTGGGAAAAGACGTTCACCTTACAGTGACTCATAGATGCCTCACCTCTTACTCATGCAGTGTTACCAGCATGAGGCGGCAGAAGCTTTACGTCTGCTGCGGTCAAATGTTTGACACCCAGCAGATTCGCAGGCAAGCGCAGCACTTACTGACGGTTATGATCAAAGTAATGCGAACACATCTGGAGGGTATGACCTACAAGGAGAGAATATCAAAACAAGAAGGCAGGGTAAACGCACACCCTACATTCTCCAACCTCTATCCTATTTTCACTTATTATTATGGAGACTGACTGACTAAATATCTTCAGCAGACTGTGAAAGCCTGCAGCAGAAATCCAGAGGGACAATGTGCACAATTAAATCTGTCCACTAACAGTTCACTTTAGGACATTACACCTCGCTAATCTCTGACCATCTAACGTCAACGGTGAGAAGTCACGGTCCAACACCTACAGTAGGGGACACAACCTCCATGCTCAAACACATCAGCATTGTGCATCAAATCAAACCTGCTGCAGGGCTGCTAGATTTGAGAGTAAGTCCCGTTCTCTAAGAATCATAAACCAATGATGAAATCTATGTTGTAATCTGCAGGATAAAAGCTGGTTTGATAACTAACTGACGTAACATATGGTTACATTGTGAGGTGTTGGCAAACTTATAAAGAAGGACAGCTCTGTCCTGGGATGCCCTCTGGAACCTGTGGAGGAGGTTGGGGTAAGGAGGATCACAGCCAAGCTGTCCTCAATGCTGGATAGTGACTCTCACCCCCTCCAACACACACACTCACTGCACTGAGGAGCTCTTTAAGGGACAGGATGCTCCACCCAAAGTGTGTGACGGAGAGGTATCGCAGGTCATTCCTTCCTGCAGCTGTCACAATCCACAACAGGAACCTCAATGTGCAATAAATCCATAATGTAAATTCTATGTAAAATCTATACTAAGCTGCTGTAATTTTGAAAATTTGGGACTATTAAAAGGAATATCTCATCTCTCTCATCTCTAAAATTTTAAGCAGAAGTAAGTAATACATTATCACGCCAGTTTCATTTAAAACATAAGCTTTGTCTTGTCATTTGATCAGATAACTAGCGATTTTAATAAGAAAGTCCTGATAATAGATTCATATCAGTAAAAACTAACAATCACTACTATTTGCAGAAATTCATTTCTTAGGATGTCTTATATTAACAATATTGATACCCGTAGGTAGATTTGTTTTGCAGTCTGGAAAGAGGCATTACAAGTGTTATACACAAACATTAAAAACACAGGTCACATGCAGCAGACAGGTTAAAAACAGCACAGACCAAAGACATTGACAGGTTCTCCCAGTGGCTCACTGATTGTGGTCAAGAGACTAAAATAAATACATAAAATAAACAAAATAAATGAAAGTCATTGGATATCACTAATATGCCAGTATGACCCTGTTAAGAGCATGCTAAAAACATAAAAGCATGATACAAAAGGACAGTAACTCAAATAAATAAAATAATAAAGTAAATAAGTGAGTTAAGACCACGTTAGAAAAAAAACACCAGAATGATGATATTCAATGATTGTTTTACTGACCTCTGTTTCAAGCCTGACCTCAGACATACCTCCTCCTGTTCTAAGCGGCTCATTATTTTTGTATTTGTCCGTGTTGTTTGCGTCTGTCTCTTTGTCTTTGTGGTTGCTTTAGATCTTGTTGTTGTTGTGCAACATGCACTAAACTCTGTTATAAAGTGGGGTGTATTTTTAAGCGGTTAATTTTAGTCTGCATTTTATTGAGTGGGTGGTCACTGCTGCATTTATCTTCCACATGCTTCACGGAAAGCTCCGACCCTGCTCTGCAAACAAATCACAAACAGACTAATTCGATTGTCCTCCGTGACTCACAAAGTCGCCCAAACAGAGGCGGACTTGTTGACATGCATGAAGAAATTCCTTTGAAAATGAATTTGTCAAAACATTTGCTCTGAGTTTGACATCAGAGACGGAGCAGCTGCTCTCTCTTCCCCTCCCTCACCCTCATCTAAACAGACCTGCGGTGAAATTATGAATGAAAGCTGCTCCAAATCACAAATTAATTCATGATCCCAATTAGCATACTCACTCCGCTCCTGTAGCTAAAAAGCAGAGAGTAATTACATAATGCATGAGGCAGAGTAAACAAAGACTTTGTTGCTCCTACATGCTGCTCTTTGCTCCTCTAACATTTTTGACTCTGCGGAGGAGAGAGCTCGTTCAGTCCTCGGATAATCGCCTGCAGACACTCTGAGGAGCGACCAGGGATTCATGCAGATTAATGGAATCCTAAGTGGCACACGGTGCAATTTATAGACCAACATGCAAGATATTATGACCCAAATTCTGTCCATTATTAAAAACTGCAACATCTCTCTATGCCAGTGCTAGCCTATTTATGTCACCCAGTTTCCATGGCTACCATGCCATAGATAAAATCTAAAGCACACGCAGGTTTTCAAGTGTAACACCAACTTTCCCCTGCAGAGAAGGACATTACGGTCCCATGTTCATGAATGCACCACACCAAAAAGACAGACACAGATATAATTCATGTTTATGATCTCATATAATCTGCATAAATATTTAAACAGGGGCTCTCAAGGTTTAAAAAGTGAATAAGGCAGAGCTAAACAAGATGAATTTTGCAGGTTTATTCTCTACTAATGCTGAGGAACCTTTTAGTAACACAGTAAATTTGGTTTAACTCACATCACAAATACCAAACCTGTCTTAAACTTTCCAGTTTATTTAGTTTAAAATTAGTATTTCGAATAAACAGGAATTCACAATATGCATTACATAGGAGGTGATAAAATATGGTGACATCATGATGCAAAATCTCGGAAGAACTAATGAGATTCCACATTTGATTCATATGCGTGGATGAAGGAGAGCCCTGCACACAAATCAAACAGCCCGTGCACATGTGTTACATCAGCGAGCGCTTTCACAGCACTCCTGTGCAACATTTCTCCAGCCAGTGTGGAAGAAACTACTTTTTATACGTGTGTGCAAAAAACAGACTGAGTGCTCTTCTCTGTGACCTTTGACCTTTCTCTCTCACAGGTAGATTTTCTGGTTTTCTTCATGAGTGGGCGGGGACAGTCACAGTGACATCCCTGAATATAATTGGCTATAGTGATACAGTCTTTCCCTTTTATGACTGGACCCATTTAAAAGGATATTCCGGTGTAAAATTAATTAAGGGTCAAAGACACCGTAACACTGGGTTAGACACCCCGTCAAGAGATGAAAATTGCCTACCACTTGCTTCTCTAGTTATACCAACTTTAGTAATGACCGCACGATAGCAATACACAGAGCCACGCGCAAAACCTAAAAGCCACTCTATAGCCACAAATAATGCTCAGAACAGCACCTAACTTCATCAACAGTACATATAGGGTCCTAGCCACAGCACTAGCCACCAAACATCTTTTTAACTTTGCCTGATTTCTTTAGCAAAGAGACTAAACACAACTCACCTACTCTCTTCCAGCAGCCGCTTGTTTGTAGCGAGACCTTGGGCCTGTCCATTACGGACTGCTGCGGGGTGACGCAGCTCAAGGTAGAACATTTCTGATCATTTCTTTATCATTTCCTTGAAGTAATAATCATCATATTAATCATTTTGCACTGCTGATGCAGTAGTTCTTCTGCCTTAGCGTCTGGGTCTGATTGCATCTTCATGAAGAAATGATCATAAATGTTCTTTCTTGAGCTGCGTCACCCCGCAGCAGTCCGTAATGGACAGGCCCAAGGTCTCGCTACAAACAAGTGGCTGCTGGATGAGAGTAGGTGAGTTGTGTTTAGTCTCTTTGCTAAAGAAATCAGGCAAAGTTAAAAAGATGTTTGGTGGCTAGTACTATGGCTAGGACCCTATATGTACTGTTGATGAAGTTAGGTGCTGTTCTGAGCATTATTTGTGGCTATAGAGTGGCGTTTTGGTTGAGGTTTGTTTATGGCTCCTCAAACCGCTGTGTATTGCTATCGTGCGGTCATTACTAAAGTTGGTATAACTAGAGAAGCAAGCAGTCAGCAACATTCATCTCTCAAGGGGGTGCCTACCTCGGTGTTATGGTGTGTTTAACCATAAATTGATTTTACACTGGAATATCCCTTTAATGAGAGCTGTCAAACATCATGTCCTTGGATCAAACCATTTCCCATTTCTGTGAAAACAAGTGTGCCTTAGCAGCGTTGATTTTCCGGTAAGGTTTTGTTCACTACCTGGTTTCCTTTAATGCATCTGTGCTGTGAAACGTCAAGGTCAAACCCTCATGTGCAATGTAAGGAGCATGCACAGACTGTTAAGGCCAGTTTGAGTCTGACTGAAGGATATACCTGGAAGACAAATCGATCCCTGCTTGAATTATCTAAGTATGATGGTTCATCTTTACATGTATTTTAATAGTCCAGAACTAACAAGTTGAAAAGGCCTTCACAGTGGGTTCCCTTTTTGAACCCGCAACTTCTGACCTCTCTCTACACGGCCTGTGAGGTTACCACAGACCAGCATGCATAAAATCAAACCAGATGAAGATACAGGGGCTGCTCTGCACCTGTTCAACACCAACACACAAACAGACGGGGTCAAACTAAGACGTCCCTCTGAGAACAAAGAGCGAGGAGGACAAAGCTGGCAGCCAAACGCCGTCTTCCTCCTTCCCACCGGTTCAGTGAGGACAGGCAGCGGCTCGTACACAATACCTGCCGGCTGCAGGAGGAAGATGACATCATTCCTCGACAATGAAATGACTCATTGTTCCCCATTTAGTGTCAACTTCAAACACACACACACACACACACACATAGCAGAGAGACAGAAGCCTTTGTCAGCAGAAAGTGGAGAAGATTTCGGCTGCAGGACAGAGAGAGGAGCAGGTCTCATTCAGGATCTCAGATATCAAAGACTCAGCTGATGTAATTCAGTCTTTTCTGAATGGAGATAAACAAACGACCGTCTGTTCATACGATCAATAAAACAGGTCGAGCGGCCTTGGTGTGACATAAGAAGGATCCACTTTGATGCTCTGGAGATGTGTGCAGTCTCTTTGTCTGAGAAAAACAGCTTCACGATCAGGGTCAACTCTGGATCTTTGGTACCACCTGCTGGATCAGCCTGGTTACAGCAGCTGGTGTTTACACTGATGGTCAGAAGCAGGAGTTTGTGTAATTTAATTTCTGGTCTCCCTGACAAAAATCCAGAAATAGAGAAACCCCAATAAACCCATTTTAAAGTCTGTCCATCGGCTACCTGCTCATAAGGAATTGATTTTTGATTAGCTCTTAAGTATTTTCAAATACTTGCATCTAAACGTCTTGATTCCTCCTCACTAATCTTCATCACAGAGCTTCAACTTCCTTTTTAAAAATCAGTTTTACTTCCTTTTCCCTGAGGCAGCTCTGCATATATTGGTTAAAATGCTGGAGTTGGTTTGCCTCGTATTTTGCGCCATTTTCAAATACTTGCATGCTCACATTTGAAGCTAAAGTGACATTCAACCTGTTAACATCAAGTGCTCACCTTCACTCTGTTCAGTGCAAATGCAGACTCACTCTCTTCGCCCACGGTCTGTTTCCTTTTTCACATTTGAGATGCAGAAACTGATCTTCTTGCTTTTCCTCCTCCTCCACCTTCACTAAGATCTCTAAACTATCAGGGCCACATGGTACCATCGTATCACTCTTTTTAAGCCTCTTTAAACCGGCCCCCTGTTAGTTTAAGGATTGATTGTAAGAGCCCATTGATTACCTATATGACCCTTCATGACCCAAGTCCAGATTATATTTTAGACCTTTTAATCCCTTACGAACCTTTGCCTAGTTTGAGATCTTTGAGCTTAGGTCTTAACTCTTCTGGAAAAACCAGGTCAAAGATATAAGTCTGTAAGAGTCAGAGTGTATGATAAACACATAGATTTACATTTGTTTGCAAAAGTTTGTGCACCTCTTAAAAATTCACTTTTGAGGAGTTATGTTTCGTCTTGTCCTTGTCGCGCGGGAAGGAGCTGAAAATTGTATGTATTATACAATTTATATCTATAGTCTCTCTGGTATTTAAAAAATATATATATTTCAGGAAACATTAATGCATAGTTACTTTTTATTTCATAAATTGAACAAAAATAGAAAAATAAAAACGTCCCACAGAGCATTTTTTGGTCTAAAAGAGGTCTAATAGACGTCTAAATGTAGCCTAGACGACTGGTCTAAAATCAGGCTACCACAGGTCTAAAAATGTAAGGTTTTTAGGGGTGTAAATTTGGACGAAGTTTAGACTAGCCGACTATATCTATACTACACTGTATATTGCTCAACCGCTATCATAATTATTTTGGTTAAGTACTTGGAGATCAGTTATGCAACTCACAGTTTCTTTTTGAAATAATGGGTTAAAGTGCAACGTCTAAATTCCTTCCAAAAATATACAGAATCTAGACAGTTAAAATTTGGTCTTAAAAAAAAAACTAGATGTCTAATAGTCGTCTATGGCTCAGTAGGATCATTTCTGCATTTGCAAAAAAGTGAGCTGTGAGAGTTTAGAAGTGTCAGATTCGTTTTACAAGCTCAGACCTTTATCAGCTCGTTTGGCCTGAAGCATGTGTCAACAATTGTCATTAGGGAGCGCCAACTGATGCCAATTTCAGAGTTTTTTTAAATACTCTCTGACTCAACAAACCTGTGGAAACATTTAACAACTATGGGTTCCTCTTGACAGCTGTAATAAAGGTTATATTGATGCCCGCAATGCAGGAGAAGGCTACAAAAAGATAGCAAAGCGTTATCAGCTTGTAGCTTCCACAGTGCAATATATAATTAAGAGATGGCAGTTGAGGGGAACTGTGGAGGTCAAGAAGGAGAGAACTGTCTGAGAGAACGTCTGGAAAGGAAAATGAAAACTCACATTTGACAGCAAAAGACCTGGAGCAAGATTGAGCAGACTCAGGAGCGGTGGTACACCCTTCCACTATGTAGCTATACTTGCACAGACAAGACCTTCATGGCAGAGTCTGCAGAAGGAAACCTTTAACCTGTGTCTTCATCATAAACTACAGTGTGATGAAGTGAAAATAGGACTCTTTGGCCACAATAGGCAAAAGTATGTGTGGAGAAAAAAGAAGTATTGCCAGCTGTTGAATATGAGGGTGGATCAATCCTGCTTTGCGGTTGTGTTGCAGCCAGTGGGACGGGAAGTATTGCTCAGGTGGAATGAAGATTTGATTCCACTAAATACCAGCAAATCCCCGAGGCAAACATTACAGCATCTGTGCAAAAAAAAAAAAAAAAAAAAGCTGAAGCTAAAAAGAGGATGGCTTCTACAACAGGATAATGATCCTAAGCACACATCAAAATCCACCATGGACTACCTCAGGAAACGAAAGGAAGCTGAGGGTTTTTTAATGGCCTTCACAGTCTCTAGACTTTAGCATCATTGAGAGTCTGTGGGTAGATCTTAAAAAGGGCTGTGCATGTAGGACGACCCAAGAATATCGCAGAGCTGGAAGCCTTTGGCGAGGAAGAACGGGGGAAAATCCCAAAGAGGACAATCGAGAGACTTGTAGTTGTTGGCCATAAAAGTGTTTGCGAGCTGTGAAATCTGCCAAAGGGCACTGACCGTGTAGAGTTCTCAAACTTTTGCATATGTGAAAATAATGAGTTTTATTTTTGTATTTTTGTTCAATTTATGATATAACACGTAACTATATATTAATGTTCCTGATAATAATGTCTTTAAAAAAATACCAGAGACTGAAGTATAAATATTAATTTTATAATATATAAAATATGCAGTTTTTAAAAGGAGGTGCACAAACTTTTGCATACAACTGTATATGCTCAAGGTTTATTGAAAAAACGTCACTTTTTTCCCCTCTTGCAAATACACTATAAAGAACAAATTATGAAAGCTGTTAACTTAATTCTGTTCAAAATTACTGCAAGTTAACAGGAGCGTAAACATTAAAAACGGTTGAAAAGTCAGCGATCCAGATATTCATCAGTAAACAAATAATTTATAGGTGAAGCAAGAATGTCCTGAAAAAGTTCATTTCTTTCCATTAAGTAATTGAAAAACTGAAACTTCCATCTATTAATTATTCATCACACACAAAGTGAAATATTTTAGGACTTTTTGAGAGGTTTGCCAAACATTTAGATTGACGTGTGCTGTGTTCCTACTGTCGACACTCCTGAACCAGAGTCCTCTGAGTCTTACCTGGGCTTAGAAGAAAAAAAACTGGATGATTGCTCAGCAGTCCTGATAAAAATCAATTTAGCACCTCATTTGGAAATCAAAATCCTAGAGCCTAAAGGAGGATCAGAGAGGCGCAGAATTTGGGGTGCCATGTAATCCTCTGGTGCTGGTCTTCAGTGTTTTATCCAGTCCAGAGTCGATGCAGTTTGGATGTTTCCCTGCTCCAACACACCTGATTCAAATGATCAGCTCGTTAAGCCATTCCAGAGCTTGATAACGAGCTGATCATTTGAATCAGGTGTGTTGGAGCAGGGAAACATCCAAAACATGCAGGACGGGGGGCCTCGAGGACTGGACTTGAGAACCACTGGTCTAGAGTATACCAGGAGGCTTTACAGAGATACAGATTTCCTTTTTCACCAGGACCTGGCACCAGCCCACAGCCCCCAAACCACCTGAAACTGGTTTGCTCATCATGATATTACTGCGCGTAACTGACCTGTCAACTGGCCTCACCAGAACCCCAAAGAGGATCTCAGGGGTATCATAAAGATAAAGATGAGAGACATCAGAGCCAAAAACACAGACGAAGCATTAAAAACTGTAACAATAATTCATAAAACACCAATTTTATAAACATTCACACATGAAGAAGAGCCTCTTTTCACCATTCACTTTATTTCATAATGCCTTACTCACTGTCATGTACTGTACCTGGGCTCCCATTCACTGAGAAAACACTAAATTAACAGTGCGTGTGTTTGTGTGTGTGTATTTGGTAAACTAACTCTAAGTGAACAGAAACTCATGAGGAGGGTAACTCCCGTACAGTAACAGGTTTTTAAAAGTCAGACTCGTCAAGTCTCTCACTTTTAAAATCAGAGACGCTAAAATGAAAAATAAAATCTGAAACATGACCCGACGGAACAAAAGTGATTGTGCAAAAATACTCGAGGGATATGAGACCGAGAAACAAAGACAAATATAACATCCAATCCTTCTTTTAGAGTACATTTTGGATGCAGAGCTGGTGGGAAAACATTTACATTTTAAGCATACATCCTTCCTGCTCCCCTCAGGAAAGAATTCATTCAATGTTCATTACATTAAAAATATCTTTTTGTTCTTTTATTTTTAAACTTTTACCCCCACTAAATGTCACATAAAACAAGCACTTAAAATGCAGGCAACTTCTAAGGCAACATGTGAACTAAAAACAAACTAGATACTGAAGAGGGAGCTACAGGCTCCTCTGTGTTGTCCGTGAGGGCAGAGCCACACCAGATAAAATAAGTCCTAAAGCAGAAATGACACGAGAGCTATCGTACGGAGAACTACCCAATAGAAAAGACAGAAAACATCGACACACAAAAACAATACTGGAGTCAAAATGAAAGGGAATCCACCACGGCCCCCTGCATATGCTCCCCAAGATTGACATGTCTTTTTTTTTTTTCATGGAGTTATTAAAGGGTTATTCCATAATTTTTTAACCTGCATCCTTTTCTTTTCACACGCTTAGGGTCTTACTGACTAAAAGGTACAAATCTTTTTAGACTTGCTCCAACATGGAACTGTGGAACAGGCTGTGGATGCTGTTTCGGAACTGGGTGACCATATTCTGAATCCCCAAAAAGAGGACACTACTACAGGGGGCGGAGTCACGGGTAGTCAATTTTGAACGTTTCTCAGGTCTGTTTTAATAGCTTCTAACTCAGTTAGTCCATGCGACACAAACTCAAACCTTCCATACAAAACCATGGACATTTGAAGGATTTTATAAACTCCCCCGGACAAGGCCAGACAAGCCCCCAAACAAGAGGACATAACCGGGTAAAAGAGGAAGTATGGTCACCCAAATTTAAATCTTTTTTTTAATCCACAAACTATTGCTTTATTCTACCGAAGACGAGAACAGCCATGGATTTTCCTTTTTTTATGCACTGTTATCTCGTGAAAACAACTTCTTATCTCGTTATCTTAACATAACAAAGACCACTTTCTCCTGATAACGGAACATTACGTTGTTTTAGCCGACCTCAAATCGTAACTTTTAAAAACGCCCTCAGGATTGGGATATTTTTGAAACCCCACAGCCACCGTCATCAACAGCAAGCAAAGGGTTTCCAGCTTTTCCGAAGAGTATCTGGATTAGGACTGGGCGGTTATATGATCATGATCGAAATAAATTTCAGTTCGATCACGGTGATCAGCTGTGATGATCAATCGTATCATCTATGTTTAAATCATCTAATGTTTACATTTCAAGGCATCTTCATTACCTCTGAGGGGGCGATTTGTTGATTTAGTATTTATCTACATTTGTTGTACTGTTGAGTTAAAATGGTTTTTATATTTTTCAAAGTGTATCTTATTCTTATTGTTTGTTAATAAAATGTTGAACTAATGCTTTAAAACTGGTAGTTTAAAAAAAAAATTGTGACAATAATCGACATCGGACGATATGACAAAATATATCGTGATCATTTTTTTGGCCTAATCTGGATAAATCTAAAGAATCAAATTACACACACATTAAAATTACACTTCTGTCGCTGCCTGATAAGTTGGTTTTTTTGTGGGGTTGTGTTTCACAGATATCGTTTTAAAACCATTTTAAAGCCAAAATCACTAAACAACACAAACATATGCATAGAAGCAACAGCAGACCAACAACTTTTGTGTCCTGAAAGGTTAAATCGCCGTTGTTTGGCGGCTCTAAAAAGAGCAATGCAAAAGCTTTATTCTGGTCAGACTGAAGGAGTAAAAATCTGGGTCTATCAGTGGATGTAGTTTGTGCCTCTGAGGGTTGCATTGCAGCCTGTTTCACAGCTGCTGGCTGAAACAATCTATAAAAAGCATCTTCACAACTTTTTTGTAAAAATTAGCCAGTAAGACCCGAGAAAAGTAAAAGCAACGCTGCAGGTTTGAAACTTGAGGAATTTTCCCCTAAAGTCTGCATCCTTGTTTAGTCAAACTCTGAGTTGTTCCTTTAGCTATGACATGAAGTCCATCCCTGCCTGAACTGAATGAATCGAACACCTGAAGAAAACGTGTCTCATGCTCATGATCTGAAAAGAATAAAGTTAAAGATAAATATTTAAGGGGTGTGTGTGTTTTGCATATCGGGGATTCCACGCTCACACGCGCTGCAGAAACATCCTCGCCGCTCTCAGAAAAGTCCGCACACGATTCACACTTTTGCACTGAGACGCCTATTTTTTTCACATTCTGAAGGACAGTGTGTCTGTGAGCTGCTGAGGAGAGGACACACACTGAGCAAAGAGAGGAGAACACACACTCATATTGTCCGAGGGTCCGTCCCGGGGCACAGCAGCAGGGTCAGGGGTGAGGGGTCGTCGAGAGGAGGGGGTGCAGTGATTGTTTGGTCTGCGGTCACAGGAAGCTCTGTGACGATGTGCAAATGTTCAGAGGACATCATCTTCCTGCTGGACAGACGTGAGGGTCTATGGTGGGACATGCAGGACACAGTAGAGTGCAGGTCTCTTTACAAAGCTGGGTCAGAGTTGGTGTGTGTGTGTTTGTGTGTCGGTAGTGTTACAGTAAGGTGGAGGAGGAGGAAGAGGAGAGAAGAGAGGGGATGGTGGCAGCAGTTCTGGTGTCTCTGTCTCATCAGGACGTGCCCTGTCTCTTCTGTTGCTGCACTCGGATCAGCTCCAGCTGTTTTTTGCACTTCTGGTAGTATGTGGACAGACTCTTGTTCTCCTCCATTAGCTTCTTGTGCTCCTGAACCAGACGGGACGTGTTCTGCTGGTCCTTCTCATCCTGGTCCAGCTCGGCGATCAGCTCTTTCCTGCACGACACAGACGAGACGAGATGAAACGAAATGTAAATCCTAAAAATTCCTCAAAAGTAAATCCTTGAAAGCTAAATCAAGGTTGTTTCCATCTGCAATGTTTCACTTTTCTTTATCTGTGGAACGCCCTCCCCGATCACCTCAGGGCTCCACAGTCGGTGGATGCTTCTAAAAAAGGACTCAAAACCTTTCTCTTTCGGAAAGCCTACCTGGACTAATTTTATCTGATTTTATCTGCTGACTGTTTTTTTATGTTGACTGTTTTTTTTTTTTTTATTGTTGCTTGGTTTTTACTATTACTGTTGTCTTGTGCACTTTGAGATTTGTTTTTAAATGTGAAGTGCGTAATAAATAAAATCTATTATTATTATTATTATTATTATTATTATTATTTAACCTCAAATTATTAGATTGGGACTTGAAAAGCTGGATCCCTGGTAAGGACTTGATGGAAGCTTTGGGTAGCCGGACTTACTTCCTCTGGATGAGCAGGGCGATCTCTGTTTGCACTTTTAGGTATTCCTGAGCCATCTTACAGTGCTGCTCGAACACCGCCATCGACTCTTTGGAGTTTGGACAGGGGGCGAGGGGCTGTAAATAAAGAAAGTACAGTCTTAGCTGACTTTAAAGTTGCAAATGTGGACATGTTTTTACATTTCAATGACACCGTGATGTGATAATTCCCTTAAAAATCCTGTTAATAAATCACATACTCTTCCATTTCAGGTTTGAAAAGAAAGATACACAGATGCGGATTGGCTCGTTGTACCTGCAGCTGGTGATCCAGGGTCAGGTACGCCATGGGAATGGAGTTGTCTGAGCCGTTTGTGTCTGAGAGGAAAGAGCGAGCAAGTCGGTTTTTTTTTATGACTGCGCACCAACAGATCAATCAACAAGAAAAAAACAGAAACAAAACAAACAACCCGTCTGCTGGAGCTGAGCACAGTCAATAAAAACCACCGATTTACACTTAACACACAGTCTCCAGTGGAGCCTCATAGATTTACAGCGCCTGACCACAATGGAACTGATGCTGTTACAGCCGCTGTGTTCAATCCTGTAAAAACATGTCAGCCGCTCTTGTGCCTTATGTACACTTTCAATTATTTATTCTTGTGCAGTAGAAGGTAAAGCCACTTTCTGTCCGACTACACTGAATAATCTGAGCGTCAAACACTTTTCCTTTTCATGTTTCAAGTTTGATATTTTTTTGTTTGGTCCACTCTGCATGAGTTTGTAGCTGCATTCAGACCTGTTGGATCATCAGGGGAGAAGTAACCCCTGCTGCTCGGCTTGTCAGGAGGCATCATCCTCACGCTGGGACTGGAGGACCGGCTGCTGTTCCTGCTCCCCTGCAAGAAAAATAAATAAAAACTGTAAATCACCGGAGAAAACCTGCCCTCGCATTTACCTTTTTAAATTTACATCCGATTTGGCGGTTTTATTGAAGCTTTGCCTCGTACCCATGTTTACATGAGACACATTTGAGTAGGGCCCAATTTTAGCCCGTTTGAGACTAATCCGTAATCGGCCAAAACTCGCAGATTTTCGCCGATATTTTCAGATATAAAATGCAAAGAGTAAGATTCAGTTTCACTTCGAAAATGTTCCACCATTTGAAAAGTTCCCCAACTTATCCTGTAGATGGCGCAGCGACCTCATGACAATCTTCATCCACTAACTACCTCACAGCACAGCAGAGTGACGGATCTGAAGCAGGCAGCTCAGGGACGAACGGAGGAGAGTGGTCCGCCTCAACGGTAAATAAACAGTGGTTGACGGTGAAGCCCCATGTAATATGCAAGCTAAAGTTAGAGTTAGCCACCTGCTATTAGCCTTGCTACACTGTTAGCTGTGCCAGCAACAGTAGAATAAACAACAGTACACATTACGTGATCGAGCTACTTCTCTTACTGTCTCCAGATGAGAACGGACCGGAAATGAGTAACGTGAGTTAAGACGCGGAGGCACCGATCGGCAGTAGCGGCGGTTAGAGGGTGTAGTTGAAAACGCTTTTCTGGTCTAAGTTTGATCAGTCTTCCTGTCAGCGTAAAGAGCAGTACCCTACAGTATAACTACAGTATATAGTATACTATAGATATCTACAGTATATTTTTAGTTTTTGTAACTTCATAAAATTTTTTAAAAATTGTCAGATTAATCGGTAATTGATTTTTTTCCTCCCTAATAATCAGTATCAGCATCAGCCCCCCTCGGTTGGGCCCTACATTTGAGCCACAAAAAAAAAAAAGTTAAAGTTTTCCAGCTCTGGCTGCCAGACACATATTTAACATTCTCAATCGTTCACATTCTGAACATTTTCAGTCACTTCTCATGTTTTTCAATGAGAAATTTATCTTGTACGACCTCTTTATTAAGTTACAATTGAGCTAAAGTTTTTCAGCATCTGAAGCCCTGTAAGAATAATTTAAAGCTTCAACTGCTTCTTTGTGGTGGATCACTTGTTACAATAACCGCTGGAGTATTAACTGTAAAGAGGAGGAGTAGGAGGAGGAGGCCCCTGGGGGTGACTCAGCTCCCTGCAAAAACCTCATAAATGATCAACACTGAGAGGACATTTTGAAACCTGGTTTGGTAAGTTTACAGCGTGTCACTGCAGAAATTTTAATGATGAGAGCAGAAAATAAATCCTTTATTTTTAAGGGCATAAAGTGTGTGGATTTGCAGGACATACAATACTTATCCAGGAATCTGCAATACTGTGATCACAACAAAATTCAAATTCAACCACGCCTGCAAATTCAGACACATAGAAGAGAGTGGAGAGAGCAGAAAACAAGGGAGATGGCAGGGAACACTGTGAAATGTAGAGGGGTTAAAAGTCTAAAATGCAAGTTTAGTTTGCAGCAGTCAAAGAAAACAGCAGGAGAAGCACGGTGAATGAAACGTTGCAGATATTAAATGTCTCGGAGTATCTTTGTAGTTCCCTGGATGTAAATCAAATGCTCCATGATCAACGACTCTGTCACAGCTCTGTGAACCTGCAGGGCAGCTACATCTCCCAGATTTATTTATCCTCTCCAGCAGCATTATTTGTGTTCAGTCTTTATCTTAAACTCTGGATGAACTCTGACTGCACGGAGCAGCAGGTTTAACACCAAACAAACCGAGACAAGTGTTTGTGGAAAGCAAGGAGAAACACTGCGAGTCTAAAAAAAAAAACACAGGTTTGAAGCTGCGTGTTTGAGGAGAGAGAGAGCGCCGAGCTGGTCTACACTCATGTGTCTTCATCTTCTCAGAGCTGACATATCAAACACGCGTCATATTCTGTGACATTTCTCCCCCGTGGATTTCTCTCTCCTGACGAAGAACGAATCGAATGTGTTTGAAAGCAGGCGACATCAGTCAAACATCGAACAGGCTTCACAGCAGCGAGTTAAAAACATGTTTTACACTCAGAGCAGAAATAAAGCCCTGTGGTTGGGGTGATAGGGAGTTCAACTTTTCATTTGTAGTTAAAAGAGTTGATTACTTTGAATGATAATTATTGCATCATTAACCCAACATTAAGTACACATCAGAAAGCCAAATCATGGCCGTTTATGAGCCCATATATGAAATAATCAAGACCCTTTATGCAAAGTCAAAAATACGGTCAAAAAGAGTTGAGAGTTTTTTTAGGACTGTCCCTTTAGTCTGGTGGGTGGTAATGTTTAAACTGAACTGACAGCTGAACCTACAGGAACAAACGCAAGCCTCTCAGAGATGCCTGCTGCCTCGTGATGGCTTTATGCTCTGGAGGGTACCTAAGAGAAGAAGTCCTTCCACTGACAGACACGCCCATATATCATATATTACTCAATGATTGGACTCTAAAATGCACCGGGTTTCACTTAAACTTCCCATCACTAGAGTTAGAGACGGGCTTTAAAACAAGGCCAGGATTTCAGGGTGAGAAGTGCTCGGGTTTTCATCTGCAGTACGTTTGTTGTGCAGGTATACAGGAAAAACAGTTGGTATGGAGAGCAAAAACAAGTGGAGCACACCCCATTACAATAAATGAGGTATGGATGGATGGATAAACTAAACTGTGGGTGTAAATAAGCTTCTCTGTATGTCTTGGCCAAAAAAACAAAACTTGACTAATATCAGCTCTGCACAACCGTGACCAAAACTCTACAGCTTACCCATCTTTGTGTGTCTATATGTCTTACCTGGCTGGACTCTGTCCCGATGCCTGGCAGATCCTGAACAGACCGGCGTCTCTGAGGCTCACATGTTGCTGTAGACGGGATAGACAAAAAGAAATCCGAGTGAGACTGAACAGAGTTTGTGGACAGAGATGTAGGAGGCTGTTTTTTTTTAAGGGATATTCTCACACAAAGTGAACAACACCGGGACAGCTGCATTGGTTTCAAACTCTTCAAGGGTCTAGCTGACTACATCGGCTCTGGCTGAGGGAGAACTCTACCACTAACTTCTTTAAACTTTACTCCACAGGAACGGCTTACTATTAAACTTTGTTTATGCATCCGACAAAAAATACATTAAAGAAAACAGCAACTGGAATCATCTGCCCTACACAGATTACAATCTCCATCTATGGCACAATGAAAACACAACACACGTGTAAACAAACAGCACACACCATAGGGAACACAGAGGACTGCAGTAAACTGAAAAGCTTACTGAGTTTAAGCTTCTACCGTTTATCAATTTTACCAACTTCATCTGCTTTTTAAATAAGTTTAAAGTTTTTATCCTACGCATTTCCATCCCCAAACCACTATTACTTAGAAACATGTATTCTAATGTATAATCACAGCAGTCACAGTGGTTTTGTATAATATGTGGATTTTTTTCTATAGATGGATAAACTTTATTACAGACTTTCTGCTAAAAAATGAACCTCAATACAGCCAACGTAGAATCAAGCACTAGGTCTGCAGCTGCTCTCGACACCCGTGGATGTACGATAAACACATCACTTCGTAAACTTTACTAATAAACACAGTTTAGTATGTGTTGAAACTTTATGTGCTGTCATTCTTGGCCGGGTTTCTCTTGCCAGACATCTCAGATCTCACTGTCATAAACCTGGTCAAATAAAGGATATAATAATAAAGTTAAATGTCATTATCCATTTTCTAATGACGTTCATGTTTATAGTTTATCCGCATCACTAGCACTGTGACTGAAAGCTCTCAGGAGAGGACACTGTCTCATGAAGTGATTGTTAAACATGCTTTTATTTTGGCATCTTTTCTGTCTTGGGGGCAGGATGCTTTTTCCTTTTGCTTTTTCTTTTTAAGTATACTACATCTGATGAAAGCGAGGTACTCTACTTGTAACAAAAGTGGTTTCTGGGGTGTTTGTGATGCACACAGAAGAAAATGGCCAGTTTTTGCATCAAAACAATAAGATACAGTTTTATTAGATATATTAAATAATATTATATGCTACGTTTTGGTGCCATGTGACACAATGAGACACAATATGGCAAAGTTTAATGAGATGTGACACACTAATATTCATAAAGATGGTTTTGGGTCAAGTGCTACACATTTATCTGCCTCCAGGATTGCATTTATGGCTATTAAAAAAAAGCCATCATGTAAAATTAGTCTGTAAATGTATACAGAATTCATGAACCTTTGGCTGATAAGCGTAAAATCTTAAAAAATAACAAGTTACCTGAGGTTATTTATGTATTATTGGTCTTTCTTTTTTACAATGCTAGCATTACCAACATATTGGTTTATTCATTCTATGGTCAATATATCAATGTTTACATAGAGCAACTTTTGAGCGATCATTTCCTGTTGAAATAAGACTAAAACTGGATTGTCTGATGATGCATATGCATATTGTTGTTTTGTGCAGCATTACACTCTGACCTGATAACCACAGCTGATTGATGAGGCATAGAGGAGGCCTGGTGTCCAGGTGTGCGTATGCAATGACAAGTGTCCGACCTTCAATAACACTCACAGACTGACTGTCTGAGTCACTGTATTAAATAAGCCACTCATTCACCGCCTCTCCAGAACAGCAGTCTTTTCTGACATCCAGAGCTGCCCCCCCCTCATTCCTCTCACCCGTATCTCTGCTCATAATAATAGCTCTGACCCTCGATGTGAGAGAAATTAATCAAAATGACTTTTTCAAAGTTAATGGATGTAAAGAGAGCAAGAGGGAGAGAAAAAAAAATTAGCCATGCTTTACTCTACGTCCTCGAAGCATGAAAGGCAAGGACGAGCTCAGATGCGTAGAGGTGGTGCTCGGATTTTAGCCCCCTCCCCATGATGTGCTGCAGCCAAGCCAGATAGATGACAGAGAGGACAGGGCCATGAGTTAGGAACGTATCTCATCTGTGTCACCTCATCAATTATGATTTCATGACTGGACTTTTTGATAGATTTGTTGTTATTGACAGAGATAATGAACAAGCTCATTGGCTCTAGATAAATCTTAGTTGGGACCAGATTTGAGGGACATAAGGAGACACAAGATGAGAGTATTAACTCATGTTCTGCATGCCAACTGAGAACCACAGAAGACAGAGAGACATTAGACACCTCTGAAATGTGTTATACCTTTTATATACCTTTTTTCTCATAGACTGTCCTAAAGTTGTGTTCAGACCAAAAGTAAGAAAGGGAATTTTTGTTAAGAGTTGTAAACATGACCTGGGAAAATCTGAGCCTCATTCACCATCATTATCAAGGATTTTCCAGCCTTAATATTCCATTGTGATTAAGATGTTTGTGTGTGGAGGTACATTATCATTAGAGCTGTTTTAATTGGGATTGTAGAATGTGATAGTTTTTCACAGTTGCATGTTTGAAAATACAGTTTTTTGCATTTTAAATCAATTTCTTAAGTCCTTCCCAGCAGGTCTGTTTAGAGAAGAACACAAGCAAATGTTTCCTTTCTGAATGGTCCTTATATTCTATGTCTTATGTTACGACTGAAGAGTTCATGCTCAATAATGACCAGCGACTTCGAGACGTATCGGCCAAGAATCAAAACAGTTAGCTTTATTTTTTAGTCTGAAAACACTTTAAGACCTCAAACAACTAAGGTGAAACACATCAGAGGGTCATATCAGAGCACTGCAGCCCCACGGGTTCAGCCAAGCCAGCTCCACCCAGTCACCAGGAAGCCCAGTGGTCCAGTGATACCTGTGACGACGATCTTGGGGACATCCAGAATGGTGCCGAATGATGCCGTTTTACGGTGGCCTCGTTTAAACTGGGGATGCGCTGCGAAAACACACACACACATACACACTCACGCGTACAGCTGCGAACACAACAAGCATGCAGACTTTAGACAGACTAGAGGCCCCACAGCTCGTCTGGAACTGTGGGGGCGACACACATGCAGAGCATACATGGTACGTGCAAGGGGCAGCATGCACCGCATCCATTCCAGAGGCTGCAGAGAGGCGCTGCAAACATCGCGGGCAGCCACTGCGCTGCGTTTCTCAGCACAAACAACAGCAGGCTTTCAGTTCCAGTGCTGTTCAGACACAAAGTTTAACCAGGCAATGCACCAATAACAGAAACTTTATTCATTAAAACTTTGGGATTTCTTAATGGGGGCCTTTCTGAACAAATTTTGTTGTCTTAATGGCTAATAGAAAAGGTTTTGATTTCACCGGCAGATTCCTGCAGATTGCAGCCGTTTAATAAGATGTAATCTGCAGGAATCTGCCGGGTGCTAAAGCTCCAGATCGGAGTGTTCACTAAAAATGCTTTTGGTGCCAATAACAGCCTCATATTGTGATCTTAAGTGCCTTATATCATTGTAAAAAGGGTCCCTACAAAAGCTGGATTAGCTGACTACCTGGATTAAATATTCCTATCAATAAAGAGTAACTTGATCTTGTAGTTGTCTTGTATTGAATGCAGGGTTTCACCAACTATCCAGAATCATAGACTCTACATTAAAATGAACATTTAATATGGAGAGTCCCTGAGATTTACTGTCACCATGACAACACTGATGAGCCTGCTGCACTCTGTCACAGACTGCAGGAGAGGAGATGGTTGATGGTCCAGTGTTTAAGAGCTTCTTGGTGGATTTATCTGTCATCACAGACTATATCTTCAGACGATTAAAGCACTTGGGGAAAATACTGACACTGAATTCTGGGGGAGGAGCTTCTCACAGACATGATGGGGCCTCATTCCTTCACGGTAACACTGCATGCCTTGCTGCCCTGTGCAAGTCTTCTTATAAAATATAAATACTCAAAAACATGGGAGCGTGCCAGTTTGTCTGGGTCTTCATTTCACGTTCTGTGCTGTTTCATGTCTGTTGTTACCTGAAGGTGCGAAGGGCGTTTTGTGCTCCAGCTCTGACAGGTCGGCGCTCATTCGTTTGCTGTCAGAAGATGCCAGGCACTGAGTTCGTCCAGGCAGACTCTCAACGCTGCCCCCTCTGGACAGAGGGAGAGCTCTCAAAGGGTCTCCCTGGTAGAGCAAAGACACTTTTAGTGCAGAGGCTCATCCTGATACAGAAGCTATTATTACCAACAACAACTTTAATGCTTTTCATGATTCAGAGCTGGTTTACCTTTGGCTTGAAGTGAGGAGGAAACTGAGGCGTTATCTTGATAGTGTCGTTGCTTCCTTGAGAATCACTGTGCTCCATGTTCACTTCACTTTTGTTGCTTGTGCTGGTGCCAGTGTAGTCCACATATGAACCTTTTTGATATTAATAATAACACATTTAATCAGTAACACACTTCATATTTAGAGCAAAGCTCAAAGAGCAACAGACGCGGTGAAAAATTCAGAATCAGGAATAGATTGAGAAGGTTGAAAAAGCTTCAGCCTTTGTGTTTCAGGATCCATTGACTGCTCTTGTGAATATAATTTAACTTTTACAGCTGTGTGTTGCTGGGTGCTTCCTGCAGAGGTGAATCCAAATACAACAAGATGACTCTTTTACCTGTACTAGTTGCAGAGTTGCTCTGTCCCTCGTCTGGATACTGGTAAGGATACTGCAGAGGTACATCAAAGTCTGGGAAGTACTGCAAAAACAAACAAAAAAAGAAGTTTTTTTAACTTTGCATTGATCTTGGAGCAGCTCAGGTCAGCTCACAGCCTCTCCTGAAGTGCTGTGAAGGAACATGAAATGCATTTTTCTGATAAAAAGAACACAGTGTAGTATTTGCCTTTTAATCATTTTCAAGAAGGGAACTCTTAACAGGACTGTTGGTTTGAAATGGATCATTTTCAGCAAGCTGCGCCAAAGAAACTGTAAAATAAGAGCTGCATGGAACTTCACCTGCAGTGGTTCTTACCTGACTCTGTTTTCACATTACATCCTTCCCTCCGTGATTTGTGTTTTCTATCAGAGAGAGGGTAAACAGCGTGTTTGGACTGATTACCTTCATTAGATGAGTCATGATCTTCACTATCTCCTCCATGGAAGGCCTCTGAGAGGGGTCTTTGGACCAGCAGCGAGTCATTAGACTCTCGATGGGTTTGGGCAAATTTTTGATTAGTGGAGGTCTTGTCCCTAAATGTGCAAAGAAAAAGAGTGTTAAAAAAAAAAACACCAGAAAGGCAGAAAATTAGAGCAAAATTAGTCCCTCACTGTTCCAGACAGTTATGACTCAGGCAGGTGAAAATATCAACTTGTGTTATTTGTTTTTTTCTCCATTCACCCCTGTGTTGGAATAAACTGCACAAGTAAGCACGCTTTTATCAAACCCAAACTGTCATCTTAAAGGGAGGTCTTGACAAATTGAAGCACTTCAAGAAAGCTCTCTTTTCAAAAATGTATTTTAAGTATATTAGAGCTGTTATATTGTAGTGGATACAGTAGTGGTCTTTTTGGTAAAAGCAGTTTTACAATACATGACATAAAGCAAACTAAATGCAAGACAGGAATGCTATTAAAGGTGGGGTAGGCGCGAATCTGTTAAAGAAGCATCTTTTTATGTGGTGTATAAACAAAAAATCTTTTAATATCAGTCAGTAGCTATTAGTTATTGATGACATTTGAAAATATAACGATATCGCTGTGTATTTTAATGTCTGTGTAGTCAACATTTAAAATTTTTTGAGCAACCCGCTCTTTCTGACTGTAAACAAAGCCATTCTCAGCCTCCCCCATCCTGACTGGTTGTGAGGCAGACACTGCTCCCCCATGTCGTTCAGGAGCCCAAACAAAGTTAGCGTGCTGCAATATCAGACAATAGAAGCCAAGATTTCTCCCCAAAACTGGCACGTTCTCAGATCCTGCCTACCCCACCTTCAGGGCAAAAGCATGAAATACTGTACATCCATTTTATGAGGTGATGTCTTCTCCAAAGAAGTCACAGTGCTGGTGATTTGGCTAATTAATAAGTTTAAGCATTATAAGAAACAGGTAATGACATCTATGTTAAAAGCTTTTATTAATCAAGTTTATAAAATAGAGTTTTGCCTTATGTCTACTTTGCCTTTCTTGAATGTGATGGCTTGTGTTGCGTTATTTTTAAACTTTACATAAATATCATAATAGTATTATTAATGTGAACTTATGTTTTGAAACTGATTGCTAAGAACAAAAAGCCCCTAACAGGCACAATAAAGACGATCTTCATCCTGAAAAACCCTGAACAAGTGTGGAAACATGGCCATGATCTAGAAGAACTGGAACTGATCTCCTGCCTCTCAGCATTCCATGCAGGGCAGGCTCCTCTGAGGACTCACAATGATGGAAAACTTGACATGGCCTTAGCATCCTGCAGCACACACACAAACACACACACACGCACATGTGCACATACACAGGCAGTGACTCACCGTTGTGCACAGCCCACATGATGCGGAAAGCCGGTCCTCCAATTTCATCAAAGGGCTTCCTGCGAGTGATCACCTCCCAGAGAATGATCCCCCAGCTGAACACATCACACTTCTCGCTGTAATTGCTGCCTGAGAGTCGGAGAGGAACACACAGCAACACTTAGAGTCCTTTTCAAACCAGAGAAATGCTCTGTTTGACATCCCTGACTGACTGATGGGGCTAATTCTCTGTGGCACGTTTGAGATGAGTGTCTGGGAAAGCACGGCGGCTTTTATCTCATATTCCCTTTCACAGGAGAGAGACGGATGAAAAGAGGGGAGCAATTTTATCAAGAAACAGCTCCTGTGTTGCTTAATTACCGAGCCTATTATTGCAGCTTGAAAGTGCGCATCACACACCTATTACAAGTTGCTGCGCTGAGATGTGCTGGTTGCATTTCACTCTGATGCAAATTAGCTGTAAGGAGTTCATGGAGAGGGCAGAAGTGAGATGTGTAATTGCACTGGAGGCTTGTAACTTGCCTCCAAAAACAAGATAATGACCAGAGCTTAATTCATTTTTTCCTCCTGACCCTCTTTGCCGAGAACATCTCTCATCATGTAGAAATACATTAGGCTGAATGAGAACACAAATTCTACACCGTTGTCTCCCGAGGGAAATAAAGCCACCAGCATCACTCCATTCATCTTCCCAGCATGCTTTGGGAGACGACTATCAATAAAGCAGCAGAGTGAGGCCGCTGATGATGAATCAGGAATTAATGCCTCCATGCTGGGAGCGCTAAGCTGCTATTACTGTGAAATGTGACAGAACAAAGTTGGGTGCATGAAGGAACGTGAAGGAACAGTAGAGCTGGATCTTTGAGGGGATTTAAAGAAATTAAAGGGGATACACATGAAGACTTTTTAGCTAAAAACCATCTGACAGGAAAGGTATCCAAAGCTCTTCAGCTACTTGGAATGCCGCTCATACTTGCCTTCGAATACCTCCGGGGCCATCCACGCTGCACTTCCTTTGTTGTTGGTCATGTGAGTCTGAATGTCGCATGCTGTTCCAAAGTCGCATATCTTCAGCACAGTGCCGCCTGCTACCAGAAGCAGACTGGAACAAAGAAAGAAGGATTAACGCTGTTAGAAACTGAAAGTGATTGGAACCTACAGAGTTCAAACTTATTCATAAAGCTGCATCTACTTCATTTAGGCAAACAGTAATTTTCAGACTGTTAGGATCCCTTTGATTTCTCCATTTGAAAAATATTCAGGAAGATGAGGCGTGGCAGTAATAGTTGAATACTGTTTCATCCTAGTGCACCTACATACCTGGCCAATGTGATAGATTTTGATTTTGACTCTGATATCACTAAAAACTCTACGCTAACTTCAAAATCAACATTACTTGATTTATTTTTTGTTTACTTAATGTTGCAACATCAACATCACATCGAATTACATCACGTTAAATGACAGCCAACCCCAATATAATTTTCTGTTACTTAAAGGCATGGTTGACGATTGGAGAGATAGGTCATAAAATGAACCTCGTTTATATGGCGATCATGGTCCAAAAGTGTGATACAGGTTCAGGGGGCACAGAGGGGAGAGGTTTGTGTGTGTGTGTGTGTGTGTGTGTGTGGGGGGGCACTTTTTCAAATCTGCCTCTTTTCAACTGCTTCTCAGATTGTCAACCATGCCTTTAATTATCAATTCAAAATCTGTCTGAAACATGTTTCTGGATACGTTAACATGCATGAAACGATGGGTGTTATCATTATTATGTATTCGTTTTATTAAATGAACGCATTAAAAAATGACAAGGTAATATCGACATTACATATCGTCCATCAGCAGACCAGTTCTGTAAATATCTGCATCTGTATTGGCCATTAAGAAACCCACACTGGTTGACCACCATTCTGCATGGTTGTTTAAAGTCTCCATTCCTTCTCGTTTAAGCTGAAACTTGTTGCAGTGTTTTGAAAAGTTTCTGTTTTAGAGGCCCTAATATTTTAGTGTCACCAGAGGGTTATGAATTTTAAAAATGAAACTGGCAAGAACTGATGCAGACCTAAAAAATAATTTTGATATCTCAAAAGAAGATATCAAACTTGTCGTACCCTTTAACATGATAAGTATTTCATAAGATAGTTTGAGGCTTACTCATATTAGGGGACTTTTGATTGGTCAGTGTAATTGCAAGAAAAAAAAAACAGTTGGAAAGAACTTGAACTTGCTTTTGATGAACTTGGTTTTTATGGCAGAAGTATGTAATGACTGAGCATTATATGAGAAGGCATGGTGACGTTCAACTTAATGGTCAACAGTTTGCGCCACAATGTGTGAGTTTAAAGCCACAGCAGGTGTGAATAAAATGAGCATGTTACATTTGTAGTCTTTCACCTTCAAACTTTGACTTTATAACACTTCATCTTTTTCCCTCCTCATCTCTTTTTTCTAACTCTTCTCTTTATGTTGACCAGTGGAGCAAACTTTTAGCATGCTACATGATGAAACTAAATAAACTTGTCCTATAACTTTTGAGAAAGACCTAATTTAACCCTTCTTTAAAATAGAGATCCCTGAACAGTGTCACATACATTTGATCTATATAAGCACTTTTTTTATACAACCACATCACAGAGAACAGCGTTGTAAGTAAAGGCCAGCAACTTGCTCTGATTATAGTCGTTAAACTGAGTGGAGAAATAGTTTCCTGCACGATAACCCAGAGTTGACAGTTTGTCACGATGCAAGGCCTTGTTATTCCTAGAAACTCCACAACAGTCCTCTAGGAAACGGAGCAGCTGATCATTCCCACAGAGTCCTGCCAGGAGCTGTCTCTCCGGCACAGTAAACAAGCCTCAGTATCACCATGTTACCGGGTGTTTAGGCTGATAACACAGCGCTGCTTTAAATAAATGCACAGGACTGCAGCGACGGCCCATGCTGCTTTATGTTCTGTCGAGATTACACGAAGAGATCCTCTAAAGTCCAGTTCAAATAAGGGACTTCATCAGACATCTGAACACTATATAGAAGTTTATAGCATCATGAGAAAGTACTTCAAACTTCAAAGAGGGCTTGAATCTCTCATGCCCATTTATTAGCTTCAGCTTTTAAATCAGACACCCAGCATTTTTCTGCAGAAACACTCAGTGTCTGATGCTTCATTGCATCATTATACCGAGATTAAAGCACTGAACACTTTTTGAGACAGTCCTGAAATCGATATGAATCTCCTCGAGGAGTGTGCAAGACCATTTTGAATATATTTATTATGCTTCTTACTGAGAGTCACAGCAATGTTCCTATTTGGTCTATGTGAGGCTCACAGTTGAATTAAGTGTTTCTCGGCAGCTACTGAATTTCCCTTCAGGGATAAATAAAGTTCTTCTTATTCTTATTTATCTGAACAGGTGTGATCGTGTACAATTGACTAAGGTGGTCAAAAAAACACACTTTCACAGACAGTAACTTTAGGACTCAGGTACTTTTGGACTCCAGCAGCCACATAGCAAGAGATGGAGATCCAAAACCGGCTCCAGTTCCAAATAGTTGGAACCATCCACATCATGTGTCTTTATGCTTTACGGCTCAATTATTGATATCTTCCTCTTAGTTCTGCATGCCTTGCAAAACAATGATGTGATGCATCATAAGAGGCTGGAGACAGGAGCGTCCCTAAAGCTGTTTTATATAACTAATCATTGTTGTATTTGTAATAATAGCTCTAAAAACTAAACAGCACGGTAACAGACTTAAAGTTAAGTCCACTCGCTTCGTGAGACCGGCAATTTTTCAGCGATAAACTCTGTGTGTTTCTGCAACATCCAGGAGCTTTTCTAACCCACACAGAAGATCAGTGTCGGAGACTGTGACTATTTATGTATCAATTTTAGTGATGTAGTGGATAATATTGGGTATTAGCTCACAATGTTACTTGAAGACTACCATCTTTGTTCTTGTCTGTTAACCAATCAGAGGCTGCATCTGCAACCAGGCTTCGCTGTCTCGCCAGAGCAGTAGAGGTAATTTGTGTTGACACAGAAAAACGGCATTGGATGCCTTTCTCATAACGCAGAGATCAATGGTATTGATAATGGTATTGGTATCAATAAAATCTTCTCGATTCCCATACCTATACATGGTTAATGTCAAAGCCCAAGACAGACCCAAAGGAGATGTGCTTCAAGCCAGAACATCCACCTAATGTTGCTGTTATAAACTTGGAGAGGAGTAGGAGAGTTTACTCAACGACTGTGAACATAATGATCTGCTGTGACGTGAAGAGGATACGGTCCTCTTTGGTCGGCCAGTTTAGGTCTGCTCTGAAGCATCACAGCAGGAATCATTGATGTTTTCTGACATGAATCAACCACAAAAACAAATACCAACATTTAGTGGGTGCTGGGTGCCAATTTCCAATCCTGACTGAGGCATAATGATAACTTGAGTGAGCAGTTACGAAAGAGAGGGTTTTGATTTTGCATGAAACAACTAAAGGAAAAAATCCTGCATCTTATTCTGAAACAGAAGAAGGGTGCTTTTGCTCATTTTGAAAGCATTTGAGTGTTAAAATGAAAGTAAACACAAACTAAAATCAGTCACAGGAAATCAGAAGACGCTTGGTTGGCACAGTGAAACAAGGAAACAAGGAAACAAGAGAGTGTGAGGTGAGGAGGTGCATACTTGGGTGGCTTGAGGTCCCTGTGAATGAGAGCCTTTGGTTTCATGCCATGGAGATAGGCCACGCCCTGGGAACACTGTAAACACCAGCTCATGGCATGGGAGGCAGTGTAATAAGGGAGGGGTTCAGCACCATGCAGCACTGTGGACAAGAGAGTACAGTCACAACCACCAGCACGGACAATAAACCTCCACAGGAACCAGGCTGTCACACACACACACACACATACACACACACACAATAAACATACACACCACATACACAGGGCTGGCTACCTGTCTCCTACAGCTCCTTTAACAAGTTAATTTCCAGGAGGACAAACTGAGATACACCGTTCAATAACAACACTAACAACTCCACTGAATCACATCAAAGTTAAGGCACCGTAAAGTAACTTTGATCGAGATTCAGTAACAAGAGAGAAGAGGTAATCATGAACTGTAAAGCACAGCAGAGACTCCCAAACTGTGGGAATCAGCTCCTGGAGAAACTTGTCAAATGAACCTCGTGAGATGACTCCATTCACGAACATGTGGAGAAAACAGGTACAAGTCCAACTCAAGGTATCAAACTCTCATGCATACTTGTTTTTCACCTTCAGGAGGATTCTGACCGCATGTCTCAACAGTCCAATATAAACAACTTGTGAGATTAATTCTTAGTAATGTGTTGTTTTGAAAAGTTAGACAACTTTGTATGTGACATCCCTGTCTTTTTGTTAGCAGATGCAATATTTCTTTTAGTTATTTTATTTACATCGCCCTTTTCACATGTACCGGTCTCTTTGACAAAGGCATAGATTTCACTTTGCTGTAGCAGGGGTTGCTAGGGTACAACTGTCACAACTGTATTTTTTTCTGTGTGTGTTATATGTGTTTATGCTTTATCTGAACTGACCATTTAATACGCCAGTTTGACTCTACAATAACAGATAAAAATAAACAGACAGAGGCAGGAACTTCAACGCTCTGAAACATTAATCTCTGTTTTTGTCGACACAGTTTGACTGTTTTTAGAGGGGTGGGGATGAAACGGCTCTTTCTTGTTAAAAAAAATCCTCTTCCTTGTAAAAAGGTCACCTCAGTGGGGATCTACTGCTGCGAATCCAAAGCTTTTCAACCTCTCAGCCACATAGACTCAAAATGTGCAAAACAAGGTTCAGGTTTCAAAACAGCAGATCACTCTTTGAGACTGAACCTTTTTTTTTTTTACATCAACCTTACGATCATTTCACAGCTTGTATTTCCAACACTAAAGCTCAGCTCTGTTGCTTCATCAGCTGACTCACGAGCTGCACTTAAAAACATTGAACAAGGGTCAAATTTGAGACAAGAAGAAACAAAGTGCCAACTATCTTCAGCTGTGGGAGTGATGCACTTATATTCTTGTGTGGCGAGCTTAAGTGGTCCTTATCCATTAAGTTACACCTCTCTCTCAGCAGCGTACTCACTGAGGATAAGGTGACAGTCAAGTTCCACAGTGCTGGAACATTCAGTGTGTATCTGTATAAAGTCATTAAAGCAGCACTTCGTCGTGGTGTTTGTGACACCTACTTTTTTCCGGTCGGGGGGCTCACAAGGCTGTACCGCATATCACTGAGCAGAGACTACCACATACAGGAACTGGACAAGTGACCGAACATGCAGACAGTGAGGGGGGGTCAACTAAACAGGGAAGCTTCTCATGTCTGAGCAAGGCTGTGTTTATTTCACTTCTGGCAAAGTGGAGCAGATGCCTTCATGTATAATAAAACAAGATTGTTTTGAAGACTCACCGTTGTACAAGGACCCTCCTTCAGCATACTCCATCACAAGGCAGACCTGAGAGGGAGAGAAATCATGTGAAGCTTGCCAGACAGAAAAGTGTGTTACAACATATCACTACTTATCTTTGACTGTATTAGCAAGGGGGAACATGAATCCTGGTTCTGCATATTATGGGGTCTTACCATACAAACACACAAGGGGTCACGTCTACTCTGAGGAGTTTCTATTTCACATAACCACATGCTCACTATACATATCGCTTATAACCCCACTATAGAATTATGGTTCACCCACACCAGGCGCAGATGTCCCCAAACTGTACTGAAAGCATGATCATCCATCCTTCTCAGGCCCCCACTCACACTGCAAATGGGCCTGAGCATGGTTACCTCTTGAAAAAATGCCATCACCTTGTCATACAACTTGGCTCTATGTCACCTTGTGGCATCCTTAGACGACTATCTCAGACTCGGTGCAACAGCAAACAAGCTTGGACTACAACTCCACCAACTTGGCGGCTTATTTTGAGTCATTTTGGTCATATACATAAACTTTTTGATGTCAATGTTTTACATGATTGTCAAGAAAACTAATTAAACTGATAATTCATCATGTCCACGTTTCATTCCTCTGCTTGTGCTCATGCATGGGAAATGATACAGGGCTGAAGACCACCTCCTCCCAGGCACAAGTGAAAGATGCTTGGGCACATTGCTCAATGACTCTATGACAGTGGTTCTCAAGTCCAGTCCTCGAGGCCCACTGTCCTGGATGTTTCCAACACACCTGATTAAAATGATCAGCTTGTTATCAAGCTCTGTAATGGCTTACTAACGAGCTAATCATTTGAATCAGGTGTGTTGGAGCAGGGAAACATGCAGGACAGTGGGCCTTGAGGACTGGACTTGAGAATCACTGCTCTATGGCAATGGGATTCTCTTGCTTGCAGGTTGAAATAACATTAAAGTGGACATCTATATTCACAGTACCCCATACAGAGTCTTAATATCAGCCTGCTGTCCTGTAAGATGCTGTAAGAAAATCATGTTTTGTTTAGTTTTTTGGATAGTGGTAAAATCACGGAATAAATGAGCTGGACTTCTTTTCACTGATTGATTTTATATGCTGTAACTCAGAATTATTCACAGCTCTAATGTTTTTTTTTTTTGCTCAATCAGAATCAAGTATTTAACTCAGCTCTGTGATAAGTAAGACAGCTGTTTTATTGATGTATATAACAATATTACAGTTCAAACTTACCGGACTATGACAAGAGCCATACAGCTTCACAATGTTGGGGTGATTCACACGTGAAAGCTGCCTGAGCTGTGGACAAAGAGGAAACACTTTACTTGATACCATCCACATGCATGATGTTCAACACCTCAAGTGCACAAATATTTGTCAGCCAGTCTGCCAATACCAGCTGTCTGCTCTGTTACTTGACGACACAAACAAAACTGTGTTATTAAACATTGACTGAGCACTGCGGTTACAAAAACTAGTTCAAACAATGTCTGAGAGTGCTATTACATACTACTTAAATTAAATAAGAGTTAGGACACAGTGTAAATAATGGATAAAAACTGATTTTGATTTTGAATCATTAAAAACCTATATTTAATGGAAAATACAGCAAAATGACATCAATAAAAAAAAATGAAAAATAAAATGTAAATTTAAAATCAAAAAGTTGGGAAAGGGACATCAAAACACAGAGGCTGAATCTCAATGAAAGATAGGAAGACGTTTCGACGATCACCGAATAATTCTCCTGAGTATAAAATGTCAAAGAATGAGTGAATTTCACCATCTACAGTACATAATACAGGGCTCGACAGTGCAACCGTTTCACTCGAATTTGCGACTAAAAATAAATGTGTGCGAATTGTAAAAAGTATTTAGGGGCACATGTGCGCATTAAAAATGTCAGCCGAGGCAACAAATTTTTTTCATGTAAATACCGCGGTGAGGTTAGTTTTAGGTTTGATATTCGACGGACATTCACTGTGGAGCTACAGGTGTCTTCTCACTCTCCATAACCGGCAATTGCAACAGCAGTGCGGTTAAATCTACTCGGCACCCTCGCTGTCAATGTTGGGTGTTGATTAAGGGACCATTAACAAATTACAGGTTGATGATCTTAGAAAAGGCTGTTTTCCCTCAATAGCTTCCATGTCACATGACCAATTAGCCTAAACTTGATTACAAATAACAGTACTTGTGTCGATCAATAAGACAGACATTATTCGATCAATTTTCATTGTGCCCCAATAGTTCTTTGTGTGCTTACTTTTTCAACTTAGGAGCACATGTGCTCCTTGTCAAAAAAAGTTAGTGTCAAGCCCTGTAATATCATTTAAAGACCAAGAGCATCCAGAGAAATCTCTGTAAAAAGGGAACAAGGGCCAAAACCAAAACTTCATGGCCCTGATCTTAAGGTCCTTTGGCAGCACTGCATTAAAAAAGGACATGACTCTGTAGTGAAAATCACTGCATCATAATAACTCTGTGTTATGGTGTGTTTGACCCTAAATTAATTTTACGCCAGAATATCCCTTAAACTGGTGTTTGCCTCATTTTGAACAGCATGTAACTTGTTTCTGAAAAGACTTTTTAATACAAACAGTTTATCATCCACACCTCAACTATGAAGGCTTTCCTCTCAGATTCACTCTCAATGGTCTTGATTGCAACATCTTTGCCTTTCCATTTGGCTCGGCAAACGACCCCGAAGGCTCCTCTGCCCACCACCTAAGGATGGAAACATAAGACATAAGACATAAGACAGTCAGCGCCAGCTGATCTTATAAACATTTGTTGAAACCAATAAAAACCCATCACTCACCTCCTCAACTTCAATATCATCATAGTTGATTTCCTCAAACGGGTATCCAGGTGGTGTTTCCAGTATATCGGCGGATGGTAACGACAGAGACATTACTAGCTAAAGTCAGCCAGTAAGTTACTACAAATAATGAGAGAGAAAAACAATCAAGTCCAACAAGTCATCTGAAGTAAACAGGGCTACAGGAGGCGCAGGACGGGCTCAATCTAACCCCATCAAAAAGCGAAAAGTGATGAATTAACTTCACTTAACACCGAATCACACAATGAATGATTAAGACTCTGTCGTGAGCTGTCAAACAGGATAAAACAGCTTTACTTTAGCTCTCTGTCACCTCGTCTGAAGCTCTCTGCCAGCTGGCTAACCGCGGAGCTAAACCTACTATCTGCTATTACTAACACTTCAAAGTAAACAAAGTTGGCTTTTTATCATAGTGAAATTCGACTTTCAATACAATTAAACAACCCTCTTTAATTGGCACAGTCGGACTCTTCATCTTTCAAAGACCTGCAGTGTGTTTTCTAGTTAGCCTACGTTAGCCTGCTGGCCTGGATGCTAACGCTAGCTACCGGGATTTAGCTTCAATCCAACCGTTCGCAGTTGAGTCGTCGCCGGCCCCGGCTCTCTGGACATGGGGATATTTCCTTCTATTCATGAACGGAAAGACTAGGAATAGCATTCATGCTTTAAAAATAGTCTTTCTGTATCCATTTGACAGGCAGACATAACTTTTTCACAACTCGTCTAGCTGGCTTGCTAAGAGTGTATTTTTGTTCTCCATCAGGAAGTGTGTGCGCACTGAAATTCGGTCCGGTGTACACCGACAAGGGAACATTAGGTCCGACGTTTTCAACATCATTATCGTCATGATGATGATGGTGGTGATAATAATAATAATAATAATAATAATAATAATAATAATAATAATAATAATAATAATAATAATAATAATAATAATAATAATAATAATAATAATAACAACAACAACAACAACAACAACAACAACAACAACAACAATAATAATAATAATAATAATAAATTATGCCTTATGTCGTGTACACAACATAACTTTCTTGTGGGAACATGCCAACAGCTGTTTTGTTTCCACAATATAACAACTTGTTTCTGAACAATGTTTGCACTGTGTGTATTGTGAAGATAATACTTGGACTGAAAGAAATGCTTTCCTGCAGGTTAGAAAGACAAAATGCTCTGAAAACTGAAATCCCATACCAGTCAAGGAGCTTGAGGTTCCTCAGCAGAGCACATTCAACACATGTTTTTTTTTGTTTGTTTGTTTGTTTTTTTTATATCCAGGATTTTAGACCTTTAGATGTTTCAAACTAAAACAATTACCCAGTGCACTCTGTTTTCTACCATCTTACCTATGGAGCTGTGTTCTTTTACCTGGATTTCTGTTTGGAACTAATGCTGGCTCATCAAACTAATTCCATGGGGCCCATATGGGTATGACTGAGTCTTATAAACTTGGCTACTTATGTTTAAATAAAACTTGGTGAATACTGCAGGTTTTTTTTTTTTTTTTTAAATTTTATGAACTTTAAGTTAAAAGAAGTTCTGCTGACCACTGATGCAACGATATAGCCTCACAAGCAAGACCGTCCCTGATCAGACGAGTAACACTTATGTAATATCAAAATTACATTTGTGAGGAGGGATGTTATATAAACACTGCACTTGATGAATGCTAATTACATGCCCCACTCGTAGGGGGTAATAAAGCAAGTTCCCAGTGGAGGCTTTCCAAACCACTAAGCAAGCACAACTCATACTAATGAGCATGAACTAATTTGTTGTGATATTGAACAGAGGGTTGTTAATAGCCGGAGCCATCCCTCTCCCCTGAAATAATTATTCTAATCGCTCATTTCAAAGGTGATTAAAACGCTCTCACCTGGCTGTTTTTCCAGGACGACCTGCATCGGCATATGGTTTGAGACCCGGGGTCAACAGGAAGTGCCGGTTTGTTTACTCCCTCAGTGACCTGAAGTCTTTGATGAGGCGGAACTGCTCCACTGCTCTCCTTCTGGACATCCTCACAGCCATGTGGCTTCATCATCATCAGGCAGCAGTGTGATGGAAGTGATGAGGAGAAGCAAGATCCAACAAGTCCAAGGTGACATTGATCAGCAGGAGGTGGATTTTAGCTGCAAAAGTTTTTAATGCATTTAGCAGATTCTTTTCCTGATTGCTCAAGGTTTGCATGCACAGATACACAAACTTACAAATATGACAGTCTTGATGTGATCCAGTTTTGGTTCTGCCGGTTAAAAGTTAAAAAACGAAGCCTGGAAATCTGGAATTCCTTGAGTGTTCACTTGAGGCTGTCTGCAAAAGCAAAGAAATCCACATTAAAATACCTATCTTTACACCAGATTTAACATGTTTGATTCTTATTTTTTACCAATTCGGAGGGGCTGAAATTTGTATTACGTATCCATTTTGCAGAGTATGGTGGCATAAAGCAAAATACAAACTAAAATTCAATCTTCCAGTTAAGTTTGCTGAAAAAAACTCTGGAAAAGCAACCAAAAGATTTTATTTAGTAGTTAAAAAAGAGCCGGAAAACAGCCAAAGTTAAAATCTGATCATCAGAGTTTCCTTGAGCATTAAAGCAGAAAGGCCTGGCTACTGCGGGCAGAGGGATTAACGGTGAGCTTCAGCTAAAAATTTGCAAGGGAGGCACATCATGTGGAAAAAATTATCCATCTTCTTCAAAAAACTTAAACAGGACATTTTTCTTTATGAATCAGCAGAGAACTTTATGCAATCAAGCAATTCAGACCTTAAGTTTTGTCTTTTATAAAGAGAAATAAGTTTTAATTCTTGGCTTGTCAGGTAGATGTAAGGTAAACCATACACAGTGAGATTTGTTATTCACAAATACACTAGCTACGATGTAGCTAGTTATTACCTTGGCAGGTCTATTCAGAAGCAGTATTGCAGCTAAACCTGTGTGTTTGGTCTTTTTATGAAAACGTTTTTATTCCACACTGCTCTGTATTTTTATCATTTTTTCAACCTTTTTCATCAAGAAAATAAACTTATCAAGTAAGTTTTTAACTCCTCATCACAGCTGTTCTCTAAAATTTTCCCCCAATAACAAAACACATCTCTGCTTTGTAAGTACCAGTTCCTCTTTATCCATGCTTACTTTTTTAATTCAATATAGACTGTGAACATAGTATAGATTATTTTTCATTGTTTTTCTAAAATCCTTTCACTTCTAGAGATGGGTATGACTCCCAAACTCAAAAAAGAAAGACTTAATATTGATTAATTTTTATTGGTTTTCAGTCTCTATCAATATTTATCTTCTCAACTGGTCTAATTTCTATTTTTTATTTTATTTTGCAAGTTGCTGTGAAACTTCAATTAATGCACACTGTTGTCTCCTGCACTGTAAATCAGTCTGATATGCACTCTCTTAGCCACAGGGTGATGCTGTTGCCCTTCCAACAGCTGCTCTCTCCTCCAGTTCCTCCCTCCTGCTCTCCTGTAATGCCGCTACTGTCATCTGCTTGTGTACCACACTACACACAGAAATTTCTCACAATTAGAATACCTTCATTTATATTCTTATGTCAGCATCAGCGTTCTCCTACACGGGGAAATAATCTGTTTCCTGCGCTAAGTTGTATGATTGATTACGGCTCAGTCGTGCAGCTGATGAACATTTGTCTTGTGTTTATGGCTTTTAAGTGCCACGAGCGCTGCAGGTTGGCATTATGGATATCTCTGTCCCCGATAAGGCTTACATTGTTTAATTAGAGTCGAGGAAAAAAAGGCCACTGTTTGCAAATATTCACCTGAATCATTTTCTATAAGTGGAGCAACTCCCACCGCTACACCCCCCGACAAGTAAACACTGTACACACTGGGGACCTCTGCAAAGTCATTTTGCAAAATCATTTAAAGTTTATCTAAATGCTGCATTCACTTACGCTGACTTTATGTGACAGATGAAATACATCACTAGAAAAATAATCCCAGAGGCTAATTAGTATTAGTCTGAGAGCAGTTTGTGCACACACACTCTCACTCACTAACACACACTCACGCACACACACAGTGTCACAGTGTGTATCAAAGAGCTGCACCTGAAAGAATGGCTTAAATCCTACAGAGGGCCCCGCAAAGACGGCTCCAATGGGACTATTATAGCCGGGCCATGTTCAAAGCTCAGGTAGGAATGAATGCATTATTTTCTCCTCTCTGTTCTCACTTCAAGAGCTGATTTGAATCAGATTTCCACCCCCTCTCCTCCCCTTTTCTCTCTGGTCAGCAGGTGACAGAGCAGCTCCAGCCTGCACAGCTGGAGGTGGCTGCAACTCTGAACATGTATACCACTCGGCAACCAGCTGAGATTGACCTTTACTGTATTGTTCCATCAAGATGTGAATGCATCAGACTTGATAAGTGGCTGAAAGAAAGAAAGAAAAAAAAGAGTGTTGAAACAGTCCACATAACGCCTGAGTGTGATGACCCTTCCTTTATTTCTAATGTGGGGTAATATATCCACTCGGGCTGATCTGAAGGGAGTGGCTGACCTTTTCATTTCGAACACTAACGCCACCTTTGAGGCGATTTTCGGAGCAGGAGTGAGACACCTGCCTGGTGGATTATCCTCTGACGGGCCGGGTGTTTAATATTTTCTGCTCATATTTAATGAGGTAAAAATATGGTTCTCAGCTGCCCTCCACTTCCATTACTGTCTGCGGCAGAATTTACTGTTATTAAAAAAAGTTTCAAGTCTCGAGGCAAAGAGCGCTCTTTTTTGATGTCACAGGTATTGGAGTAATATTTCATGTTTTTTTTTTTTTCCTCTTAATGCTGCACAGCTCTGAAACATTAACAGCAGCTGAATTTATCCTCCTGAGAGAATATGGAGGCCTTTTTTACATTTTTTAATAAGGGTAAATTATTGCAATGTTACAGACTTTTTTAGGCAGGAAAAAGAAATACAAGGCAGCTTTAGTGATGCAGTATGTTTTAAAGAAAGAGGAAAATCACAGTGCTTCACAGAGGCAAGGGAGTGACATTTAAAAGCAGTTAGGTATAAGAACCAAAGACAAACTAAAACAATTACAGACCATGTAAAATACAGTTATACTTTTATAATTATTAAGGCAACAAAGTGTTATGCTACACGCTTAAAAATCTTGACACAGACCGTGGGATATAAAAAGAAGTGGTTCATATCCTTCACACAATTATAATTAAAAAATATCTTATCTCTTTAACTACAACTATGTTCATTATTATGCTTTCCATGTTTACCCCCTTAGCATCATTCTTCACCTCACAGCTTAAAAACAGTCATTCAAACAGAAAAAAAGTATTGAGAAGTATCTTCCTGCAATGCTACAAGTACTTTTAAAAGGTATTTAAGGACATTTTGAGGAACAAAAACATCATTATTTAAATTTATACCTCTTCTTCTCTACACCTCAGAGGGAAGTAATGCAGTTTCCATTAAATGTGGTGCTATTTGTTATTTTGTGGACTCGAAATATGAGATGAGCCATGTAGAAAAAATCATTATCAATGCAGTTTAAATGACTGAGGTTGGCTCCATTCTTACCAGCAGTGGGACTCCTGCAATCAATTTTGGTGTTAGATTAATAAAACTATGATTCTGTAATGAGACATTTCTTTTCACCTCTGCACAGCAATGTGATGCTGCATCAGGTACTTCAAGTTCTTTGTATTTCTGCACTTGGTTGTCTGATACTTTATGTTCTGTTACATTATTTATTATGTATTTATTTAATGAAAAATCTTAGCTTTATGTTTGTTCAGAGGTATTTTTACTTCAAAATTAACTATAAAACATAAAGCTGTTGCCTGTTTTCTCCAAGTTCATGAATATTGTGGTCGGTGGTGGGATAAAAAGGGCACCGGCTGAAAACTGTCCAGGGTCAGGGCTGGCTCTGGTGTGAACTTCCACGGGACTGCTGATACCTGAGATTAATGTCTCCACTTTGTAGCCTTATGACCACTGACTTTGAAAAGAAATGATGGCTGTGTACACACTCCCAAGCAGGAATAGGGATTGAGACCTGGCTCCATTAAATCTTGAACCCCAAACATCTGTCCATTCTGCCACTGAGCCTCATGAAGTAATGCAATACTTTGAGCTAAGTCACGTCATGTTAATCAAAAAAGTGGAAGAGGTCCTAAATGTAGCTACATCTGACTAAAGCTAAAGATAGGGACAAAGTGAAAAGCCAGTAACTTATCAAGGTGACATAAGATTATGTAATGGGATGTCCAAGGTCGGTTCAGTGAACAAGATTCAATTTAAAGCTAATTTTCATGATTTTTTTCAAATGTCATGTTCATTAAAAAGACATGTAAATTACATAAAGTACACAAAAGAGACAGAATTTCAACAGACCCATGTGGATGAAGATGGGTTGGGATGGGATGGTCTGATCTCATGAAATGGGGGCTCAATCTTATCCCATCTTTACAAATAGAATTTTGTCTTTGGATAGCACTTGTGATTTGGTCCTATTTGAATAAAGATTGAGTAATTTATTGATCAGATGACAGAAAAGTTTCAATAAGGACTCAGCTTATTAAGGAGTCAATGGTATCAGTATCAATAAAAATATTCATCCTTGCTCTCATTTAAAATGAATCAGTGGTACACTTTTTAACTGTAATTTTCCAATTTTACAAACATTTTCTGTCCTTTCCTTCTTGTGTTTCATTCCCTGCTCTCTCCACCCTGATAACTATCAACCAAACATCCCCTCCACTTTGTAAAACAATCCCGCTTACAGTGATATTCACCGTCCAGCATCCAGCCTGTGTTTAAATCCTAATACCACGCTGTCACTGAGGTTAAGCAGTATCATTAAAGTCTTCCTTTAAAGGCCTCGGTTTGTTTTTCTTCCCATATATTCCCCACTTTAGCTCACAGAGTACCAGGATATGTTTTCAAGGAAATAAATCATATTTTAACAAATCGTGAAACGGTTGGATAGTATCAGGAGCTGTAGATTAAGTTCTCCAAAGAGCTCCCTTGGGATGTATCTCAGTAAACACTACATTTCATGCGGAGCCACCAGCCTGACAGGCCTGTCTGCAGATCTGTTTTGGCTTTGAGTGTGTGATTATGGAAACAAATCACTGGTACACAGGAGCGGCTTCACACTCATTTAAAGGCTGGCTGTTTTTATTGGAAACAAAAAAGGTTATCACAGGGCTCGTATAACCCCTGACATCATCTCAAAGAATGTCTGGAAGCCAAGAGCTGAAAAGTTAGGACGGCTCCCACACACTTCCTGATAAAGAGTCATTTATCAAACCTGTTTTACCTGGCGGGGTCTGCCACAGGGCAGAGAAACGAGAGTGTTGAAAGATGCAACTTTTTTTTTTTTCATTGGCAGACTTTGCACAAACAAGTTACTTTCTACATAAGAGGAAAGAAACTCAAATCTGACATCAAACTTTAAGGACACTCACATTAACAAAATTATGATTGTTATATGTTAGTTTACCTTTATTAATCTTGTTTTTTTTGCCTTTACTGGGTTAAAAGTGAATTCCTCTACAAAGATGAACTAATACAAAATGTTAAAACAAATTTTAATCATGATAAAAAAAAAAGAAAATGACACAGGTAACATGATTTTGGCGAAAAACTTAATAATCACAATTTAAAGACCACTGATAACACTTTAAATATGTATATATATATGTGTATATATATGTATATATATATATATATATATATATATATATATATATATATATATATATATATATGTTTTAGCATATATTTGTTTATTTTTTCTTATTATATTAAATTTTCTTTTCTTATTATTTTTTGGTTTTATATATTATTGTTATTATTTTCATTTTTGTTTCTGGGTTGATCATATAAAAATATTTGCCATTATTAATTGTATGACTTTGTGATCCTGTATTTTTAAAAAAACTAGAAAAATATTGTTCAAAAATAGTAAAAATAAAAAAATAAAAAAAAAATAATACAAATCAATCGGAGTGGGATTTTAAGGGTTTAGTGTTTAAGTAGGAGACTGAGATTTAGCCAATAATTACTAACTGCCTTCACTCATCTTTTTCATTGTCACTGGATGATTTCTCGCCCGACGCATGTCAGTAAAGAAATCTGTTCACAGTCCATGGTAGGAAGCCAAAACTAACTAGCTATCAGCTTTCTTATCAAAAGATAAACAAAGCCCATGCTGCAACTTGCATGATAAAAAAATAAGCCTTATTATAACCTGTAGCTTGTATGAAATAGGAGAAGAATGGAGATCACCTTTTTGAAGACAAGAAGCCCCTTTTTGGCATACAAAAGTTCCCCAAAATTTACCCTCAACTGAAAATTACACCCATGTTTTTCACTTTGACTTCACTCTGAATAGTTCCTGCTAGCCCCTTGGTATTATGTCAGGGAAATATCAAGTCTGTTGATGTTTCTCACGCAGCTGGTGTTCTGTCTAGTTTTGCTACTCAACAACAGTGGTCACTTTGTCAGGTCATAAACATGTTTACTGTAAGAGTAATGCAACATTGCAGCAACAGTGTCAGACTTTTTCTTATTTTTCCTCATCAAGTAAAGGAACTTTTGCTTCCACACTTTAAACTTCTTGTTTTATGTACTTTTTCAGGTGTTCCCTGACTGCTCACGCTCTCCACAGTCTGCAGCTGTGATAAAGACCGAGTGCGGCCTGTGCGGCAGAAGCAGCAGCACATCAGTGCGAGCATCAAACAGCCTGAAAGAGTCGGATAAGGTAATGTCCGTACCCTTGAGCAGACCGACGTTACGAGGCGAAAGCACAAGGGGCAGGGAGAGTCGGACTCCAAAGGGGGGGTCAGACGGGGATCAAGGGCGTCTTGTTATTTGTGATTACTCCTCCTGGTACCTGCAAGACCGTTTTCAGAGGAGATAAGACACAGCGAAAAAGAGAAGACAGAGTTTTTTGAGACGCTTGCTCTGAACTCAGAATGGTTGCAGTGAGGGGAACTAATTTCTTTCAGTGTCGCTGGGTCAGGTGTAAAACCTTTTAGGGATTTTGTGGGATTATGGCCTTCTCTCCCACTATCTCTCTTCCCGACCACAGATTTTAACTCCAGGAAAGAAGTTCAACAATCTAGTTGTGTTTATTTGTGTTTTCATTTTGACATTTGACATTCATTTCCACTGATTGCATCTTCCAATTTCTCGAGTCCACACCGCATTAGTGGAGGGCTACATTGTTCAAGATGGCTGGAACTGTCCTTTTCTGTTCGGTTTCCCAAGTGTGTGCTTTTAAAGTGTGTTTCCCAGCCTTAGCCTTGTGTCAAGATAATAACGGTCATTCACTGTGAGAGCAGTCTGTTTATTTATTAACAATAAAAACTCACCCTTCCAAATAAAAATGACCTTTAACTGAAGCTGACAAATGAAGTGTTGGTTCCACTGCCCATTGGACAGAGTGACAGAGGGGTCTGTAGCGTTTCCACATCTCTGTGGCCTTGCATTTATCTCTTCGTGGCTCCGTCTGCAGCTGAGGAGACTTGTGGCAGCTGCTCAGTTTGCCCTACCTTGGCAGGGCTGATGAACTGTGACAGCTGAAGCCTGAACAACCGGTCAAAGAAACTGCCTGTAATGAGGAGTCTGCTGCTTGAGAGACAGATGCCATCATATTTCAGATAAAGTTATTTCTCTGCACCGTCGGGGCCGGACTGACTCTGGCAGACTCGATGTGCCGGCGGCTGTCACGTGACGGAGTTATTCTGAGATAGAAGAAAATATCCTGGCTCTACCTACATGTGTGAAAATGTGGCTCCGCATGTATAGCTTCATAGAAAATGCAGAACCTGGCCTTCAGTAATGCTTGGCTGTCTGCCTGTGGATGAGCAGGGCCAAGGAAACATTTGGAGCTTGATTGTGTTGATTTAGACAACAGTGGGACTGGACTTGGCTGCAGTTATTCCTGGACTTTAAAGGTGATTCAGCTTTATCAAAGCAAGGTCGAGTACTGTTTTTAATTAGTGCATTATTAAAATATCTATCTACATCTTATAATTAACTGCTTTGAGAGGCTCTGTGTGCTGATACCAGCTTCTTTGTTTTATTTGATATCATTTGCATGCTTTAGACAATTGGGCTGTGTGTGGTCTGAGTGTGGTGGCTAATACAAAAACTCTCAAAACAGACCTATCACTGGAGCAGATGGCAGAGCAATTACTGTTAAGAATATCCAATTTAAAGGACTACGCTTTTCTTATTTTGCTCCAAGAATTCTGCATTCAATTAAAACATAGACGACAAGAAATTAAAATTAATGCAACAAATGCAGAAACAGAACTCGAGTATGCAAGGCTGCAAAAGTGCACTTTGCATTAGTAATTTTACCTCCCCACTGTGGATCAAAAGAAAGAGTAATGGCTGCAAGATGTCTGTGATATCTTATCAGCTGAGGAACTCTGTTTATATAAACTAAAATTGTCAACCACTAATCAAATTTCACTTTGGTCTGTAATGACACGCTCCACTCTGTAAGACTGTTTTTTAAAGGCTAATGAAGGTGTTACTCTGTTATGGTGTTACTGTGCAAACAAGGCAGGAACATGAGATCCAGTCAGATAAACAGTTTATTTGTTTACACAATTATTTAATATTTCGCTTTAATGTTAATCCTGTAAAACAAACGTATATTTACCTCATGTACATCACCCACCTGTGATAAAATGACATGAATATTTTTTCTCAATCACTCTTCACTCTACTGCACCCCCAATCACCCAATCATTGCCTGACTGTCTTGTGTATAGGTAAATGTCTAGTTCAAGCCTGTACCTACTTTGTATATATTTTTTGTTTTTTGTTTGTCTGTTTAATGCTTTAACATATATAAAAATGTCCTTGTTAGCCAATAAAGCTGATTCTGATTGTAAATAATCACTCCAGATGCATTTGGAAATACTAAATAATCCATCATCAAAGCTTTCTACTGTGATCAGTGCAAAAATAGTAGCAGGGTCAGACACAAAAATATCAAAAAGGACAATGAAGAGATTGGCCAGATTTTGCTCTCTGTCCATAATGTTACTGACATCTTAAGACAGGGTTCAGTCAAAAACCCTGAATCCCCTCATACTGCCTGTGCTCTCAATGATCTAGGGTCTCTCTTATTAAATAGCAGAAAGTGTTCTGAAAGTGTACAGATGCGAAAACCACAGAAACTGTGTACACCAAAATTGAGTCTGACTTATAAAACTGTGGGCACTTACATTTGCCAACAGTGTTGCTGTTATAAATCACAATATGCACCATGGATCTGTCTTGTCTTCTGTGGGGCACATTTTCAGTCAAGTTTACTATTACAGATCACACTGTTTGCCTTTCAAGTCCTGTTTTGTGCATACCCAACACTTATAGATGAGACCTCAGGTGAAACTCCCATCAGTTGAATACTTTTTAATCAATTTATCCTCAAAGACAACTTTTGCCGGCATACACTGCATGTGTATCAACTCCAGAACAGTTTGCTTTTCATTTTGGTGTGCATGTAAACAGATCAGACCCTTCAGACTGCCCAGCATGAGTTGTGTGATTTTCACACAGTGAAAATATAGAGAAATCTAAAATCTAGAGACTGGACAGCTTGAAGATTTTTCTGTCAGCAGCTCACAGATCTTTGCAAAAATAATCAGAAAAATAATAGTAGAGGGCTGAACTGGCTCTGTATCAGCTATAGAAGAATTTATGAAGAAGATGCTTAATGAGTGTATTTCTAAACAAAAGCCTCATCAGTTCTTTCTTAGGAGAGACCCCCCCCCCCCCCCTTGTTTTCATGCAGTGCTTTTATTCTGAAGGTGTCCCAGGGTGGCTATTTGCAAAACGCAGTGACTTGCACAGGATAAAAGTTAAAAAAGGTAATAAAACAGTGCTAGAATGTTAATTTTGGACCCTGCATGCAGTATGAAAAAGCTTTTTTCCTTTTTCAATTATTGATATTTTACCTAAATCTGCATTTTTTTCTCCATTATATTTCCCCACTGAATTAATTCTGAGTGTAAGGCACATTTTCCCCTTCGGTGTATGAAATGTGCATGATGAATACGAGGAGAAAACTTGTAGCTCCGAGCCATAAACTGACTTGTTTGACCTTTACTCCCCCTCTGCCCCCGGTGAATAACAACACAGTCAGTCAGCATGGTTCAGCTGAGCACTAAAATAACAATGTTTTCAGCTGCAGAGGATCAAAATGTAAAGCCCATAACTTTAAGTGTCATCTGTAAAATGTTATGAGGGTAAATCTTTCCGGAGTCACCTCTTGTGTGGCAGTGAACCAGAATGTCGGGTCAGGTCCACTTAGAGTCAAATTTATAGCGACGTTTGAAATTAATAAAGGAAATTGAGATTCATTTATACATGCCGGCCTCAGCAGGCACATCAGCAAAACTGTCAAGCAGAGGTCACAGACATCCACACATCCAACTGAGGAGGCCCCAAGCCAAGAAGAAAATTGCTTATTTTCCAGCTTGAGCAGGATGTAGTATTCTCTGTGGTGAGTAGCAAACATCTCCTCTCATGTAAAAGCAATAGATCAGCGCTTTTAACAGAGCCTGTCAGAGCCGGCTTCATTGGGGTTCAGTAAAAGAGCTAATGTGCTGCAGCCAAACACAGAAGCATCACCCCGGTGGTGTAGCAGACATCAATCAAACATCACCCAGCCATGTTGAATGTGGTGGGTTTTTTTTCGCTGGTGTAATAAATCACGTTTAATGAAGACCCTGTTTGACTGATTTCTGTTTTTAGCCTGCACTGTTTTAAAATAGCAAATAAACTTGGGTCTGCATAAGGGGTGTCCCAATGCGATCAGTTGAGATATCAACAATTCGAGTGTAGTTAAAATGTAAAGTATAAATATTTTAAGTTTGAAACAGTGCACAACTCAAAGAAAATCATTTCAAAGTAAATGGTTCTAATTGGGAAATGTATGCTTTCATTAGACAAACTTTTATTTAAATGTACTCTTTGCCTTGTTTGGAAAACGCTGAATTAATTTACATTTATTTATTTTCTGTTATTAGGTTTTTCACCTGCTTGACTCCTGTTGATGTTACAACAAAACAGGAAATTAGTGAAATCCCGAAGACTGGTTGAGTCCTTTCTTTTATCAATTGTGAGAAGCCATGGTGTATCAAAGACACTTGACAATTTCGGATATCGGTCCGATAGCAGCAAAAAAACGAATTTCGGATTATATCGGCCTGCATCTAAAATCTCCGATATCAGCACTCCGATGCAAGCGGTCCATTCCAGACTCCGCTCCAGCACTTCTATCTACCAGTTCTAGCAGAAATTATATGTTTGAATATATAAGTCGCACATGAGTATAAGTCGCAAACCCAGCCAAACTGAAAAAAAATGTTACTTATAGGCCGGAAAATACGGTATAATTGAGAAAGTCTGTTTCCTCACATAATGGCACTGGTCTTGGTATGGGCCAGCTCAACACAACTCTTTAAGTATGCAATAGAGAACACAGCCCAAACATCCACATGAGAAACACACCTTTGAATAATCAAGGGACTCATGATTTTCCAGAATTAACCGCCTCTGTTTTCCTCCCTGACAAGCTGAAGTGGCTTCATTTCCTCCTCTGAGCGACTCCCTCTTGGGTCATTGGACACGACTATCATTGTTTCTTATATACCTCTCAGTTTGGTGTCACAGTCGTCTCTATATGATCACACGGATTAAACATCCAACTCCTCCAACTCCACTTCATGTATATCTTATACTCTACAGGAAGAACATAACCCACTTACAGTTTTTCTTTGTATTTTTCCCTCCAGTGTGAGAGTCGGCGTTTTCATTCGGCTTTTTCATTTCCTGCGTGTCCCACTGTGGGATGAAAAATGAAATGAAAACTTTCACTGTACTTTCCTGAATTCA